AAAAAAAAAAAAAAAAGAAACCAACTGCCTTAGGTTCAACAAGTATATTTCAAAGAAATAAAATTAAATATAAAATAAATGTACTGGGTTAATTATAACTTTTTCCTTTCCATTGGTTTTTTTTTTCAATAAAAAATCACAGCTACTCTTTAGCTATAATTAAATAAAATGTTTTTTGTATAATAATAACATTAACAAATATTTCTGTAATTAAGTTATATTATTATTATTATTTTTTTAAATTGGGGAATTGGGGGAAGGGGAACAGACAAGATGCTATCCTTTTGTTCTTCAGTCTAGTTGTGGAGGACGTCGCTTCACTGACCCAAGTTGGCACCATCATTGCGCTCTTCCCAGGAGAGGCAAATCAGTCGCCGGCTTCTGGACGGCCACTCACGCTGGCTGCTGGCTACACACGGTAGCCCATGGCAACTCACCTGCCATCGCTGGCGACTCAAGGCAGCCCAGCTCCAGGTCAAGCTGTGGTTCAGTATCTTAGCTGTAGAGGGCAGTGTCACTGGCCCTCATATGTGGGATCCGAACCGGGGCCCTCTGGCATCCCAAGCCAGCTCTTAACCAATGCACCTCTCAGCCGGCCCAAGTTATATTATTTTTTACCACTATCAACTTTTGGCTCTTATGTATTGAGTCAATTATATATGAAAGGAAAAAAAGCATATTAACATTTGAGATTACCTGGACCAGAAGTGTTACTGGACCACTTTTATCCACTTCTAGTATTTCACCATTCTTTGTGCCAACTAAAATATGACCATGTCCTAGTGATATGGCACGTATAGATGGGTTATCTTCCAAGAGAAGACCTGAAATGTTAAATGGAGATGTCCCTCTAGGTATGAAGTTACAATAATATAAGGATGCATATATATACACAATGCCAATGATGGTATTTTGACAATGAAAATCACATTACAGATTTGATTTATCCTGTATTTTAAGTATTCTAACAAATGCACTACACTTTCCCCAATTTACTCATCTCAGAAGTAATTACTACCCATATACTACAATTCTATGATTCTATATTATCCCAGATGCCCTACTACCATTCTAACAATTGTTTCTTTTCTTCTTATATTTGTACCTCCTATCCACCTCCTGACACTCTTAGAGCATGTACCATATTCTGGTTAGTAACTTTAATTCAACTCAATTTCAGATTAATTCATTTATATCTACTGCGTCCTAGGCAGGCTTCAGAAATACATTGGTAACCATGATAAAACCAGAGTACATAATGAGGAAAAAATATCTTATATGAGAAGCATATTAAAAAAGGAGCACAAGGTAAGGGAATTTAACCTTTTTTTGGAAAGAGAATGGGAGTGGAAGGAGTCATCCTAGAAGAAATAATGTTTGAGATTTGAAAAATGAGTACATGGTCAGGCAATTGGAGGGGCAAGTGGGAGAAGACAGGGCAAATTCTAGGCAAAAGTATAGTTGTCCCCACAAGAAGATGTGTTCCAAGATTTCCAGTGGATGTCTGAAACCACACAGAATACCGAACCATATGACACACAAAAAAAGTCGAGACTATATGATTTCACTGATATGTGGGATATAAAAGTGAAAGCAACAAAGGAATAAGACAAACAAATAAAGAAACAAAAATTCATAGGCACAGGCAATAGTTTAGTGGTTTCCAGAGGGTAAGTGGGGAGGGGGTGGTAGATGAGGGTAAACGAGGTAAAAAATACGGTGATGGAAGGAGAACTGACTCTGGGTGGTGAACACACAATGTGACATATAGATGATGTATTACAGAATTGTACACTTGAAACCTATGTAATTTTATGAACCATTGTCACAATAATTTTAATTAAAAAGTTAACATTAATGATCTTGTTTTTGGTTAATATTTTTACCATGTATATCACAGAAAATAAATTTTGAAAGGACAGCAGTGATGCTGACATTCAGTTAAGTGGCTTCTTCCATTTAACTCTGATGCCTGTCTAGTAAAGAAGGAAAAATATATTCCATACGCTCCACCTCAGTAACCACATGTGTTAATGAGTCATTTGTCATTTTTCCTACCAAGTAAATATAATTTCAAATCACCTTTAGATCCTGGGGCCAAAGCAGCTCTTTTTATAGCATAGGTCTTGAGACATCTTTCAAAGGAGTCATCCCAAAGAGCTACTATACCATCTTTTCCTCCAGTTACAAATCCCTAGAAAAGTAAAAGGTTCAAGTTAATAAAGATCCAAATATTTTTTAAAATAATAATCTTCTTTATATTGAAAAATTCTAGAGGAAAGAACACTTATGTGCAAAAGTTACAGCTTGTAATGAATGGAAATTAGCATACGAGTCTGTTCTGTTTTTGTAAACAACAACATGGATTCTGCAAAAACATTTACAGTGACACCAAACATTCTACTTTTAGGACAAGACTTTAAAAACACAGTTTGTAATTTGGAACCACAAGGCAGCTCTACTACTTTTAGCAAGTTACATTACCTTGGATAGTGAGTAACTTGGTTTGTGAGTGTTCCACAAGACGAGCAAACATTTCTAATACATTTTAACGTGGTAAACAAACTGTCTTGCAATACAAGTAGTTTGTTTCCAGAACAAATTATGCTCGCAAACCAAGGTATTACTGTATTCTCTGGAGGCTTCATGATCTCATCCTTTAAAAAGAAAGGCTAGGGCCGGCCGAGTGGCGCGATGGTTAAGAGCTGGCTTGGGACACCAGAGGGCCCCGGTTCCGATCCCACATATGAGGGCCAGTGACACTGCCCTCCACAGCTAAGATGCTGAACAACAGCTCATCTTGGAGCTGGGCTGCTGTGAGTTGCCAGCGACGGCATAGGCTGCAGCCCCTGTGGCAGTGGGTTGCCATGGGCTACCGTATGTAGCCAGCAGCCAGCGTGAGCGGCCCTCAAGCTGCTGTGAGTGGCCGTCCAGAAGCCAGCGACTGATGTGCCTCGCCCGGGAAGAGCACAATGATGGTGCCAACTTGGGCCAGTGAAGCAACGTCCTCCACAACTAGACTGAAGAACAAAATGACAGCAACTTGTGTGTTCCCCTTCCCCCAATAAAAATCTCAAAAAAAAAAAAAAAAAGAAAGGCTGGTAACAATAGCTCCCTCACAGGATATGGTGATAACATATAAAGCACTTCAACAATTTTTGACACATAATAAGTGATTAATAGTCAGTTAAACTTTTTTTTTTTAAAGCAGACCTATTTCACTCTGTGTTCAGGCGTTTGAAAAGAGGAATAAAAAAGGGTCAGGAAGACTAGCTCACAGATTATTATTGGGTAGCTTAGCTAAATTGAAAGGCAGTGTTCCTTTGCTTGTGAAAATTCTCTACACTCCATGAGCAAATTATGTTTAACTTCAAAAATCTTGGGCCGGCCTAGTGGCGCAATGGTTAAGAATTGGCATGGGATGCCAGAGGGTCCTGGTTCGGATCCCACATATGAGGGCCAGTGACACTGCCCTCCACAGCTAAGATGCTGAACAACAGCTCAACTTGGAGCTGGGCTGCTGTGAGTCGCCTGCGATGGCGTAGGCTGCAGCCCCTGTGGCGGTGGGTTGCCATGGGCTACCATGTGTAGCCAGATGCCAGCGTGAGCGGCCAGCAGCCGCAGTGAGTGGCCGTCCAGAAGCCACCAACTGATGTGCCTCGCCCGGGAAGAGCACAATGATGGTGCCAACTTGGGCCAGTGAAGCAACGTCCTCCACAACTAGACTGAAGAACAAAATGACAGCAACTTGTGTGTTCCCCTTCCCCCAATAAAAATCTCAAAAAAAAAAAAAGAAAAATCTTTAGGTTACTTACTTTTTCCAATGCATGCATACTGAACAATGGTCCATCATGAGCTTTGACTGTTTTTACAAGAAAGACGTCTCTCCAAATACACACATCTCCTGTGGATGTTCCAGAAAAAGCCATCTCTTCAGTCCATCCATACACTGCACACATCATTGTATCATTTTTCCCCAGTGTGCCTATGTAGCCTTTTCTTCCAATCAATCCTCCACCTGGTTTATAAAAAAATATTACAAAAGTACTACTTTCAAAATGTATAAAATTATAAAGCAGTAAAATTTCTTTTCTACTGTTGTTAAATAGAAAGACATGTAACAGTAAAGAGAGTTAAAAAGAAAAATATGGGTCTCTCAGTCATATTTGAGCCACACCTTGTCTGGCTGAGGCAGCTATATGTATGGCTGCTTTTAGGCCACAGCTTTTTGGATAAGCAAAAACATATACTAAGTTTTAATCAGTCCTCAGCTGATTAAAAACCAACTTTTGATTGGTTTTCAAAATTTTTACTATGATGTATTTAAGAATACAAAAAAGTATTAAAAAAAATACAAAAAAACACCTACATATCCACTATCAACTTACATAAAATTACTGAAACAATGAATATGTGGTACCATTTCCATCTCCCTTCTTTACTCCCTACTACCGTGAATGTGATGTTGATTATTTTCATGCATTCCTTTATACGTATTTTACCATTTATTTATATGAATTCTTAGGCAATATATTATTTTCCATGTTTTAAAATTTCCTATAAATACCATCCTATATGTATTCTCTTGCAACTTGCTTTTTTCACTAACAATTTGCTATGGAACTTTATATACATTGATTTATACCTCTAAAAAACTCATTTTCATAACTATATAGCATTCCATTATATAAACATATGTCCTATTAATAGGCACTTCAGTTGCTTCAAAGTTTTTGCTATTGAAAACAATAGTTGCTTTAAACATTCTTGTAAGGACCTCTTCTATACAAATGCAATAGATTCTCTAGGAATGCCTACTAGTGGCCTGGGTATATGCAAAAGGAACAGCATACAGATGAGAGGTATCATCTGTTACCAAATTGTTCTCCAAAGTTGACATATCAACATACAATCACATTAATAGTGAAAGGAGTTCCCGGTGTTATCCACCTTTCAGGAACAGTTGGTATTTTCAGACTGGAGATGTGAAATACAAGTTGAATTTTATTGTAGTTTTGATTTGCATTTCTCTGATTAATCAGCTTTATCATCTTTTCCCATTTTTACTGACCATTCGTTACCTATTGATATCTTTTGCTCATTTTTCTAATTGACCTCATTATTCATTTACTGAAGAATATAGATGCCAGGCACTATTCAAGGTACTAGGGGTAGAGATATGAATAAACTAGAGAACAAAATTCCCTACTTTCATGGACCTTCCTGGTGAGAGACAGTCAATTAATATGACAAGTAAAATGCAGAGTATTAGATGTTGATGGGTGCTATGGATAAAAGGTAAGCATAAAAAAGAGATAAGAAATGTGAGGAGTCCATTCTAAGTAAGGCGGTTAAGAAAAGCCTCACTGAGAAGGTGGCATCTGAATGAAGACCTGAAGGAGGCAGTAAGAGGAAGTCATGCAAGAAGGATATTCCAGGCAGAGGGATCAGCAAGTGTAAAAGCGCCAATGCAGGAATGTGACAAGAACCCTCAAGAAACAACTGGGGGGGGGCCAGTATGGTCTAGCAAAGAAAGTAAGGGAGGCAGTAATGGGAGATGGGGGCAGAGAGGTCAAAGGCAGCATTACAGGCCACTGTAAGGATTTCATTGTTACTCTACATGAGATGGAAAACATGTGGGAGTGGAATGACAAGATCTGGCCTATCAGTTATTAGCAGGTTCATTCTGATTTATGGGTTGAGAGTAAATTGAAGAGTGGCAAGGATGAACAGAGTTACAAGGCTATTTCAGTTACCTGGGTAAATGATAAAGGCACCATAGAGCAGGCTAGTAGCATGGAAGATGATGAAAGGTGGTCATTCCAAATGTAATCAGAAGATTATCTTTTCTTAACACTGTGTTTTCTTAGCAGCTAGAGTTAGTGAACTTGGAAAGGCAGTTAAGTGGAGTGGTGAAGGAAAACAAAAACCAGATAAACTTCTCTCAAGAGAAAGAAGGAGAATATAAATTGCCAACTGAAAGTGTAAACAACTGTTTGGAGGTACTTTAGTACATAGCTAAGAAGAGAAATGATTAGCACTGGAGGGTAGAGTTGAAAGAGGGGTTTTGTTTGGTTTTATTTAAGATGAGAAGTAACACCACACTTGTATGCTGAAGGGGGTGAGGAGAGAAGGAAAACAGATAATGTATGAAAGAAAGGGAAGAAGAGTGGGAACGATGCCCTTAAGTGAGAGAAGGGAACTCGTGCACATGTGGAGTGACTGACCTTCACTAAAGCACAGACTATCCATGTAGAGCAGAGTTGGCAAATGATGGGCTGCGGCCAAATCCTGCCACCACCTGTTTTTGTATGGTACCCACTGCAGCAGCTTAGTACTGTGAGCTATAGGGACCATACCTATTTCCTTCTCTGCTCCCTGACTTTTGGCTGCCAACTAGCAGCTGGCCAGGGCCTGAGCTGGTCACCATCTACAAGTTGAGGACTTTGCTCATGGCAACTGCTGGGCACCTAACAGTGGAACCACAGTCCACGAGTTGCCTTGCCTCTTGCCAGGTGCCCAAGTTGGGAAGGTAGGGCTCTCCAGGAGGAGAAGGAACACTAGGATCAATGTGTCACTGGGGCAGAGTGAGGCTGACTATGGACCCCGCACGAATCCTTCCAGTCCCCTTCACCACAGCAGTTTAATCTTGGAGGTAACGTCTCCAGTTAATGACAATTGGGTGCAAAGTGGATAAGGCAGTGCTGGAGTTTTCTCCCTTGTTCTCTAAGTACCTACATAATATTCTTGATGTTGTTTCTGGGCCTGGAAAGTCTAAAATATTTACTATCTTGCTATTTACATAAAGAGTTTGCCACCTCTGGTTTAGATAATCATGAGTTGAGTTTTCGGATACACACAGCGTAATGTGTTCCTATTGTGCTAGGTCACATCATAGTTGCACTCGAAAACCTTTTAGTGGCTCCCTGCCCCAACCAGTCATGGAACAGTTCCATAACTCACAACCTGGAATTCTCAAAGCCCGCATCTGGAATAGAAGGTAAGAAGTTCCCCTTTAGCCTCAGGCCTGTTATCTTTAACTTAGTTTACATAAAGCTATGCATTTAGAGGGTTTAACAGCTCTTATTCAGACTAATAATGTGGTTACCTATTTCCCACGTGGCTAGCAAACTCTGTGGATCAGAACCCCAAAAGTGAGTAAGGCTGAAATGCACACCAAAGTCTTAACATGTATCCTTTTATGGTTCAGTTTCAGTTCTATTATATGTCTAACCAAACTTAAGGAAAAAATTATTCAATTGCAAATCTTTTCATTTTAAGGCTATTTACTTTTTCAAGTCTCTTATTTCAAGCAAATTTAGTTTTTTCGTTTTTTTCCAAGACAGAAATAATAAGCATTACTTGCTTGGTAATTGCAATTCCAAGTGACTAAGATACTCAAATTAAAAGCTTTGTTTAAATGTATAGGAATGAAAATTACAAACGTGAAAATACTTCTCCTTACTTTGTAAATGTGTATACACTATGATCTGATGAGTTTGTGATTAAGTATTAAATCCAAGTCTGAAAATTGATTTGAGTCCAATGTGGTTTACAGTCTGGAAGTTACTTGAACTTGAGAAACGTCTGTGCTAAGCTTATTCTTTTCTAATACACAATATGTTTCACTTTTCCCTGTATTTATGTATTTTATCTGAAAAGTTCAAGTATACTGAGACTTTGATGTCAAATTGCAGAAATTTATAAGTATACTATTCTATTTGGAAAGAAAACATTTTTATTTTAAAATGTTAACTTCTTCCACAGTTACTAATTTACAGTTACAAATAACTGTAGTAATATAACATTCTGTTTTATATCATTTTATAGCATATAAAGAATTTTTACAAAATTTTTTATTTTTAGTTTAGACTAAAAATGTCTTTAACAGAAAACAGGCATCTGGACATCACTTGATTAATTTCATCAATTCAATCCTTTTGCAAATATGAATACTATATCAATGCAGCCAATAAATGATAAAATAAATCTTATATTTGTTTAAAATGTACCAAGATAACTGTGAATCACTTTTTTAAAAAATTAACTTTTTATTTTGAATAATTTTAGATTTTCACAAAAGATGCTAAGATAACAGTGATTTCACATGCTGTACTCCTCATCCAGTTTCCCCTGTTAACATTCTACATTCCTACAGACTACTTATCAAAACTAGGAAACCAACACATTTGATACATTACTATTAACTGAACTCCAGACTTCATTCAGATTTCACCTGTTTTTCCATTAATGTCTCTTTTCTGTTCCAGGATCCAATCTGGGATACCACGTTGCACTTAGCTAAATCACTTTTAAAAGTAATAATTTCTTAAATTTCAAAGGAATGAAAAGAAGCACTTCCTTACCTGCTCTACGCCAAAATTTCATGTGTTTAATTCCAGCTGTAATTAATTTATCAGGCACGTAGGGGTTCATCTTTACAACAAAAATCTTATCTTTACTTCCTCTGAAATAAATACCAAAATATTTTAATTCTGAAGATAAACGTCTCCTGTAATAATCTTTTGCCTGATTAACGCCCTGTCTTCATTACCCCATTCCTGAATGCTTGGCCCACTTGTCTCTCAGGTTTGTGCTATGTAATCATGCATTGGTATATTTATTATTATTTTGTCATTATTTTAATTTACTATTAGCTCTTCTCAACAGAATTTTAAAAGATAGGAACAGCTGAAAATTGAACTTCTTTTGGATGGCACCAACTATAGTACTGTATAGGGAATGCTATTTGTGGTATGAATGAGTTAAAGAAAATTTTATAATACTTCATTATAGTTTAATATAGCCTTTCTGAATACAAAGTTCCTCTTAAACTCTCTTTTACTGGGGCATTGTCCATATACTCTGGAAAATGCATTTATCTGTATTTTTAAGTGCTTTAATGTCTCACTTTAAAGAATAGGAAGCTAAAAAAAATAGTCTCTGACACTTGACTATTTCTTCCTTCAAAGAAATTGTTAATATTTTTTATTATAAAAATAATACAGGCTCATTGTAGAAAATGAGAAGTACAACAGAAAAAATATATATAGCTTCTTTGTGATACATGTATGTATCTTCTTTCACTCAAATATATACTATGAGCATTTTATCATGCTTGCCAATGGCTACATAATAGCTTATCATACTATAGAATTCACTATACTTGTAAATGGAGATTTTAGATAATAGCTATTTCCAATGTCATATTACATTTACACTAAAAAGTGAGTTTACAAGGGATAAACCTATAAATGAATCCTGAAATCATTTGCTTTTTACATGATTGTACTACTTATTCAATGGTGATAAAGACAGTAGCAATAAAAACAGGTTACATGTTTGCTTGATTTCAAAACTGTTATAATTTTTAAAAATTTTAAGTCCAAAATAATTTCAGTATTTTGCCAATGTGATATCAAGTTTTATTCCTACCTTGCTATTGAAAGTTTCTCTCCTCTCTTCCAGTCCCACAGCACAATAGTGTGGCTATCATCTATTCCAACTGAAGCCAAACGTTTTCCATCCGCTATGAAAGTTAATCAGAGAGACATACTGACCATTAACATTCAGAAGATAAAAACCATTCAGTACATATTCTGAAATGTCAGAACCATATTTAAAATTTTATAAAATAATATTAAATGTTAGGTATGTGCACAGCTTTAAAAAGACCCAGAATTTATAAGGGATGGAAAATTGTTTCTCTATGCATCTAAACGTATCTGCTGACATTTTTTTTTTCTTTGACATTTTCTTTGACTTCATTTACCTTATCCATCAGGTTGGGATAGGGGAAAGGAGAAAGATAAGAAAAGTAGAAAAGAAAGATTTAAAAAATGAGAAGTAAACGAAAAAGTAAGAAAGGAGGAAGAAAAGATTTACTTCATTTAAATTTACCATAAGAACTTTATTGTAATATTAAGAACTCATAATGATTATGAAAAGTTAATCAAATGAAAAATATATGTAGATTACAACTACATATTGCCATTAATATGACTATTTTTAGTAAAGGCCAATTATTTTAGTTGTTACTATTACCGAGCAACAAGTAATGAGTGTTTTAGACAAATGGCTGAGCTAAGTCAGTCATGCTGACAAGTATGTTTATAAGTTGTAAAAGCTCAAACTACAATAAAACATTTGCTATTCCACCATGCTCTCTGCAAACCTCAATGAGTTCCTTAAAGCTACCAGTGGTATTTTTCTTGTTGACTCCCTTATTTTGCCATTCATTTTCTTGTTTCTGGACTTTTAGCAGAACCCTGAACATGTATATACATTTCCCTCAAAATTCTACTATGAACAATTCACTATCACTTCAGTCAGAGCAGCAGAAAGCACAAATTTACTGTTCCTTAATATAAAATTCTCTATTAATGGTATTTTCCCCTCCTCCAGATCTGTAATTGTTAAACTTTTAAATGTACAGCAAAGAGCTAACATGATTTAAAATTATATTGATAAAGCAGCTTGGAATTGTCACATCATAGAAATGTTATGAAATAAATATTTCAGGTCTCATCTCTTTCTTTCTTAGCTTTCACCCTAAACATGATCAAAGTTTACTCTGTGGCTATAAGACACTGAGATCAGGGTGTGCTCACAGTGGGAGATACATACCACTAGTAGTAACTGAGATGGTTTTAGATGTTATGTAGACAAACTTTTATTTTAATAGAAACATATTGATATTAATGGTTATTAAAAACTGCACTCAATAAATTATAAAATAACCAGAAAATTCATGCTTTCATAGCCATGATGCTTAGGACAAGAGTATGCACATTTGATAAAAATTGTGAAGGTCACGGCTAAATGACAAGTTTAGCCAACACTGATTTCAACTAAAATGCTAAGTACTGCCTCTGCATTTTGATAATTATTACTGAGACAGAAAACAGCCTTACCTGAGAAATCAACAGCACACACACCATATTGGTGGCAGCCCTTTAATATCGACAATGGTTTAATGGTCTCTGTATCCCATATGTGAATTGAGGGATCCCTACCTACCTAAAATACAAAAAATTACAAAAGTAATTTTATACAATTAAATAATTTATTCTCATATCATTTAAAAGAAAATAACAGGACATTTTACAGCCTTTGTCATATTTGCTATAGAAATTTATCAAATAAAAAATATAAAGCATGGGCCAGCCGAGTGGCGCAATGGTTAAGAGCTGGCTTGGGACGCCAGAGGGCCCCAGTTCGGATCCCACATATGAAGGCCAGTGACACTGCCCTCTACAGCTAAGATGCTGAACAACAGCTCAACCTGGAGCTGGGCTGCTGGGAGTCGCAGGTGATGGCGTAGGCTGCAACCCCTGCTGCAGTGGGTTGCCATGGGCTACTGTGTGTAGCCAGCAGCCAGCGTGAGCGGCCAGCAGCCGCTGTGAGTGGCCGTCCAGAAGCCGGCGACTGATCTGCCTCACCCGGGAACAGCGCAATGATGGTGCCAACTTGGGCCAGTGAAGCAACGTCCTCCACTAGACTGAAGAACAAAAACAACAGCAACTTGTCTGTTCCCCTTCCCCCAATTCCCCAGTGCTGTTCCCATCCCCCCAAATTCCCCAATAAAAATCTTAAAAAAAAAAGTATATATATATATATATATAAAGCAGAATGTATATGTGACTACTGATTTTCTTACATTTGTTGAAAAGCTAATGAGGCTAGGCTCAGTGTTTCTAGGAATGTGCTAGAACTATGTAAATCCTAAATCTTACCATATACTTCATCAATAAAGATAATGCTTACTGAGCACCTATCATTGGCAGTGTTCCTATGCTAGATACAATGAGCACTAAGACATTCAAGTAAATTTTGCAAAAACAAGATATTTTCAGTTATATAAGAACATCTGGTAATATACCCGTATACTTAATGAGGATGAAAATGTTGTAGAGAAACTCTTCATGGAAAAGATAATACTAGACCTGGGCCTTTAGAAAGTTCAGGTCTTGGATAAAAAGAAAGAAAGCAAGCACATTCTAGGCTAGGATAATGGTGTAAACAAGGATGAGAGGGGTTGAAGCACCAAGCAGGTAAACAAGACTCTGAATAGACCATTTTACCACAGTGCTCTATCACTTATCTTTTAACTTGGCTTATGTCTGCCAATGTGCAGGTAAACTATCAATTCTTAATTATCACTTCAGACTCACATAATCACTTTCATTATAAAAATAAAGAGATATTATAGCTTTGCCTATAAAAGCAACTCTTGAAATAACTAATATGACAGCCAATTATAATTAATTTTGACATTGGTTTTATATAAAGACACAATATAAACAACACTGCAATCAGCCGATATTTCACTAAGTTATTCAGCCAAACATTACCAGTGACTGTTAAGTTTTCTTTCTATTTAACTTCTATAGAGTTTGATACTTTTGATAATTTCACAGCACCACTCTCTTGGTTCTATGGTTTCCTTGACTCTTACTATTGAGTTTCCTTCACAATTTCATCACCTGTCCCTTAAATACAAACTTCTCCAACATTCTGTCTTTAATATTCTCATCTTTTCATTCTACATTTTTGCCCTGAAACTTCCTGTTTCAATGGTTAAATAAACAAATGACTCCTGCTGTTAAACTTTCTGCTGTTAAACTTTTCTTCTGAATTCAAGAGTTACATTTTCAATTGCCTACTGGACGTCTCACATAGAGATGATGATGATGACAATGACGACAATGATGACAATGACGACGACTAACATTTACTGAGAACTGACTTTTGTGCCAGAAACTATTCTAAACATTTTACAAGCATTGACTCATTTAACAATCACAACAACGCTTATTTGTATCCTTAAAGTATTCTTATTTTAAGAGATGTGGAAACGGAGCCTAGAGGGGTTAGGTAATTTTACCATAACCAATAAGTGGAGGAGGCTGGGTTTAAACACCATATTCTGTGCTTGCAGAAGTAATAACAGGGTATTATTAGAGCACACTTGGGGCCTATGTCAGTCAGGGATGAGGGGAGAAGGGACAGGTGGGGTAAGTTCTCAGATATGTTACTTAACCTAAGTTTTAGGAGGAAGAAGAAATATTAGACAAATTTGGAGGCTTAAACAGAAGAGGATGGGAAGAACTTTCCTTTATAAATTTATCTTTATATTTCCAGCACATTTCCTGGCACATAGCACATGCTCTATGAATGTTTTTGAATGAATGGAAGGAGGGAGGGAAGAGAAGGAGAGAAAGAGAGAAAGACAGAAAGAGGGGGAGGCACAAATGGAGGGAGGGAACATGGAGAAAGAAAAAGGGAAGAATTTTCTCTCCTTTCAGAGAAGCTATACAGGATGATGCAAGATGCCCACCCTAAACCCACAGTATAGCCTAGAAGATATATTTACACAGTGTTTAAAGCCAGACAAAGGGCTTTACGCTGTACTACTTATTAGCTTAAAGATCTTTGAGAAAATTATTTAATTTCTTTAAATCTAAGCTACCTCCTTTGTAAACTAGGGGAAATGGTTTCACTCTCATTGAGGTAAGGTGAGGATAAAATAAATATACATTAATAAACTAGCAAAGTGCTTACATACACTGAGAATCTATAAACATCACCCCTTCCCTTTCTTCTCTAATAATCCATATAGAGAGGTATCAATTAAGACTTTCTCAATGTTTTCTATTTCAATATTTCTGCTTTGTATAATACTTTGGTAAACCTAAATAGGTTGCTATCATGGTTGTAAAATAAAAACAGTCATCCTGTTTGTCATAGAACATTTGTTAGATAACTTATTACATTATTTTATATAACTCAAAGAAACCATTATTTCTAAGTCTTTATGTTTTCTATAACTTTTACTCACAAATTTAAAAAAATTAGTATTATCCTCACAGAAAGAAGATAAGCCAGAGCTCTTATATCCAAATTAAAATTAAAATAATAACAATTAAAACAGAATTCTAAAAAAAACTGTAGAAAAAAAGTTGGGGTAAATTATATTTGTAATTTGAAAATAAAATTCCATTCTAAAGAATTCTTTATTCTTCATTTCCTAGAATACAAAAGATAGATTTTTTTTTTTAAGTGGACTTACCTAACTTTAAAGCCAAAGGAAGATCTAACCTATCTAGCCTGTTGTCACATAGTTTTTCAAAGGACATACCTGACCTGTTGCCACGTAGTCTTTCAAAGGATGCATAGCTAGGCAGAGAATGTCATCATCATGACCCAGGTAAAAGCGCTGTGTGTTCTGTTGTCGATTGTAAATGACACCCACTGCTGCCACATGGTACACAATTTCACCAATTTGAGTATAAAACAGATTACTTCGACAGTCATAACCTCTGTAACTAAACATAGAAAACATATCATGTAATATTAACTTTGGCCTTTTATCTGATAAACACGGACTACATAGTAGGAAAGTAGGTAACTTTTAGGCCATTTAATTTCTAGTTTTACAAGATACTAAACCATTTAAACAAAATACAAATATCTCAGATCCCACAGCTTTTATGAATTGCTCTCATTATAAACTGCTAAAACTAAGCTATTCAGTGAAAAAAAGTGCAGATAAATGTATATAATATACTACTATTTGTGTTAAGTACAACAGTAAATTTGTATACTATAAGACAATAACAGGTCCTTTTCTAAATATAAGTGAAAGGATATAGAAAAGAATAAATATTTGTATTTGTACACGCATACATATTTCTGGGAATAAGTAACAGTGATTACCCTTTGAGTGGGGAAATGATGGCTGGAGGGCAGAGATGGGAAAAAGAATTTCAAGGTGTGCCCTTTTGTACACAGTACTGAACCATAAGAATACATATTCCAAAATAAGTTTAAACAATTTAAAAATATTATACACATCCAGAAAAAAGTAGCCAAATCTTCTTAAAGTGATTGTACAATTCTATTTATAGCAACCTTTCCTTGCACTTTGAAGAAAACCAATTCATAAAACATAACTGCATAGGAATACTGCCTATTTTTATACTAGAGGAAAAATATTTTTGCTAAATAAATCCTTTTTGAAGTTCTTGAAAGCATTCAGTCAGATAAGAACGTGATTACTGGGTGAGGAAAGATAAGAAGTAGATTGGAGAATCTGTTGTTCCAGGATGAAATGTGAGACTTGTATTGCCCAGTGTCCTACTGCAATCCAGAAATTGCATTTTATCAAAATTAAAATGTAAAGGCCAAAATGCACAGGGCAAAAGTAGCCACAGTACCATTCCAAATTAGACATATTTAGGGAGAATGATAATCCTTTACATTTTTCTTAAAGACAAAAGATCCATTTCTATAAATATAATACTAAACTTTCATAAGACAAAGTAATTTTTAATTTAATAAACACTTATATAGTGCTCATTATATACCAAACAACATTCTAAGTCACCACAACTATTGACTTATTTCCTCCTCATCAGAACCCCATGAAGTAGGTGCTGTTATTTTCCATTTTACAGATGGGGAAACAGAGGCACTGAGATGTTATGCAATCTGCTCAAAATCACACAGCTAATAATATAAATGTAAGCTAAAATTCAAACACATAAATGAAAAATGTTGTTCTATACCCGTGAACAAAGTGTAATCGAATACTATTTCCTGGAGCCCGTTCTCTTCTTTTAGAAGTACTGCTTTTTTGTTTCTCTTTGTATTGTTCTTTAAGCTGAGGTAGATCTTCTTTGTAAACCTTTAATGTACATAAGTAGAATTATTCTTACAATATATATTAACAAAGGTTTTCATAGATTCCTAAGTGACTTTCAGACATTGTGGTTACTGTTGATCAGTAAAGTTTTAACAACTGTCTTAAATAGGAAGGTACTTTATGAAATTTACTTCCTTGGAAAGAATTTACATTTTCTATGTATCACACTGACAAATACATATTTAGTGTTCGATGATATTTTTATACTTGAAAAGAGAATATTTTAAAGGGAATAAATAGAAGTATACTGTGACAAAAAGCTATAGGCAAATATAATACAAGCACACTTAGTGTATCAAGCACTTGCTATCAAAAAACATTTTACAAAGTATACTTTAACTGTTAAAAAAGGAAAACAAATGGGCACACGTGAAAAATTGAAACTCATGAAAGATAACAGATGAATAAACAACAAGGAGCAAGATCAGGAAGGAACTAGGTTTTTAGGGGAAATCCTGTGGTAATAAAAATTACCTGCCGACGGTAGGTAAGCTGTGTCTCTTGCTCAATTTCAGAATCCAGTTCTGGGACATCAGACAGATCTGAATCTGATTCGTCACTATTAGAGTCAGCCAGACTTTCTGTAATTTTTAAAAATGAAACATTATTTGTTTTAAAAAGATTCATTTTCAAAACAACACTGTTAATGATTAGGAGCTAATTTTGCCAGCTGACATGGAGACAGCCATAAAACAATCAAATGAATTACCTATTCAAGTGACACAGGTGTCAGTAAACTGTACTACAGATTATCTTCCTCTCCACTCACTGCAAACTCAATAGCTCCTTTAAATCCCTTCACTGGTTCCCCAATGACAGCTACATCAAATTTAAATGTCTGTGCAAATATAAGTGAATATAGCCTATAATTAACGTGAAAAATAGCTAGAAATACTGTATGTAACAGATGAATTAACATTAGGTAATTTTTATTTGTCAAAAAGACTACAAACGAAACCTAGATACCCATCTCCCATAAAAGACACTGTTTTGCTAATGTAACTGTTTCTTCACTCGTCATTTGATAGATTAAGATGCAACCCAAAGTCTTTGTATTCCATGCTCTGTGACATCTGACTTTAAACATATAGGCCTGATATTTTAATTAAAAAATTCTACTAATAAACTATACTGTTAACTTATGAGGCTAGATTACATTTCAATAGTAAAATTGTTATTTTGGGGTTACTGAAGAATTACTGGACAGAAAAATTGTTTAGGCAGTGTGTACTACTCACCTTGGGGTGCAATGTGAAGAGCATCTTTTAGTTTTCTTTCAGGAATAAATTTCCACTGAAAGACAGAGTGATCTGCTCCACCAATAGAAATAACCCACTGATAGTCATGTGACCATCTGACATTAGTTACATGAGCCGAGTGGCCAATATATTTTTTAAACTTGGCCCCTATAACAAAAATACACCTTTAAATTGACAAACCAATGCCAACACACAAAAATACCACCTTATACAACAATTTCTATGCCTGAACCAATGCATCCTCCTTCTATGATTTTAATTACGATCAAAGGGAAAACATGTTAATTCAAAAATTTGTTGGATGAAGAAATAAGTCAACACCAAGGGATGTAAATCTCTGTTCTACTGATTCATAACACAGTTTGACAAGACACATAAGGACTATGAGGCATGATCTTACTGCTCTGAAAAAGCCTGCCGCCACAAGGGAGTCAATTTTTTTCATATTAAGCTATTTGAATGTTTTGTTTTGAGGGCTTTGGTCTTAAGTGACATTCAACCAGTCTATTCCACCCCCACTATCCTTAGCCCTAGCAGCCACAGATCCTTTTAAAACTTTAGCCATCAACAAAATACTAGCAAACTCAATACAGCAACATATAAAAAGGATTATATAACATAACCAAATGGGATTTATGCCAGGAAAGCAATGGTTGATTAAACACAAAAGTCAATCAATGTAATATATAGTAATCAAAATAAAATATGGCCAGTTGTCCCAACAACTGTCCTTTATGGTCATTTTTAAGTCTCTATATTTTATATACTGTCCTTCAATATGGGTTTGTCTGATGTTTCTTCATGATTAGATTCAGATGATGTGTTTTTGGCATTGGCAATGTTTTGTTCTTTTATATACATCATTTCAAGGGGGTGGGTCACCATTCTATCATTAATGATGTTAAGCTGTATCATTCGGTTAAGGTGGTATACACCAGATTTCTTCAATTGTAAAGGAACTGTTTGACTTTGTGGTTAGTTTTTTAAAAAATCTTTGTGATAGGAACCATTTTTGTGGTTCTAAGTTCAGAATACATTGTCTATATTCTGCTTACTTAACCCTGGTATTTGGCAACATATACACATCCCTGTTAAAAGTACACTAAATACATAATGTTTGGCTTCATTTTGATAACATTTTAAAAGTTTTATATTACATTATAGAAGGCCTGTATGTCACGATGGCAAAGCTCCCTCAATTAAAATCTAGAGAAAAACTTTCACCTTGGCCATGAATTTAGGGATCAAAGTATAAAAGCTTTGACCAGAACTTGTCTAAAATTAATGCTGTGTTTTTAGTAATCACTTTTTTTTTTGCAGCTTAATAGAAGTAACTTTCTAGACAGGTAATTTGCCACAGTTCACTCAGTGAAGTCCAATAAGGTTAAGATTTAGTCTCATCCCTCTTATATGAGAATGCATTATTTGCCCATCTAGAGGACTTTGGCAATACTTCCTTTGATGGGGTCCCTTAAGTATCTTAGGCACCAGAGAATCTTAAGAGGTAAAGCCAGAGATGCAGCAAATTAAATTCCAAGTTTTTAAGAGGTACTAATTTTGTTATGTTTAGGGCAAATGAAGAAGAGTGATCTGAGCATCTGTTCTGACTGACTATACTGGGTGATAGCTCCCAGGAAGGTATAAATAAATCCTCTAAGTACCTCCCCAATTTTTTTTCTCTGTGACTTTTCAAAGATCAATCCTACTGGAGAAACCAAAGCAGAGCAACAAGAAAGTTATGGAAGAAGTCTGGGAAGCCAGTTATTTCTAATCAAAGGGACTATATTAATAATTATTTAATAACCAGCACTGCTTATCTAACTATGATAAACAGATATTTTAAAAGTGAACCCAGATAACATAGCTTTCATGGAAGTCACACTGACTCACCAGGACCAAGCATGTTTTGCTACATGCTTCCAGAATTCCCTGTGATTACCATATGATTATGCTTATGACACTAAAATGTAATAGTCCATTTAGTTGTTAACTCCTCTAATAAACTATAAGCTCCTTGAGGACAGGGGTGGTATCTTGTTTACTATATATCCCTGATGCCTTGTATAAGGCAAAAAGTCATTAGGTATTTGAAGAAAGAAAGGAAAGAAGCAAGATCACATTTCCATTTTATTCTGCCTGTACACTTGAGTTGGAATGCTATTGTAGAGGAGGAAGAAGTGTAATGAAGGAAACTGAGAGGGCATAAACATGACTCCAACCCTTATAATTCATAAAGGAGGATGAAAGTGTGATGTAAAGAATACTAGAGTTGAGGGCCGGCTGAGAGGCGCAATAGTTAAGAACTGGCTTGGGATGCCAGAGGGCCCCGGTTCGGATCCCACATATAGGGCCAGTGACACTGCCCTCCACAGCTAAGATGCTGAACAACAGCTCAACCTGGAGCTGGGCTGCCATGAGTCGCTGGCGACAGCGTAGGCTGCAGCCCCTGTGGCAGTGGGTTGCCATGGGCTACCGTGTGTGGCCAGCAGCCACAGTGAGCGGCCGTCCAGAAGCCGGCGACTGATCGCCCTCCCCGGGAAGAGCGCAATGATGGTGCCAACTTGGGCCAGTGAAGCAACGTCCTCCACAACTAGACTGAAGAACAAAACGACAGCAACTTGTCTGTTCCCCTTCCCCAATTCCCCAGTGCTGTTCCCATCCCAATTCCCCAATAAAAATCTTAAAAAAAAAAAAATACTAGAGTTGAAATCAAATGACTAGAGCTTAAGTGTCAGCTCGAACTACTTAATAGCACAGGAGCTTGAGTACATCACTTCTCTTGGGTTCCATTTCCATTTTAATATAAAATGTATTATAAGCTCTCAAAGTCCCCTCATTATGAGAACTCTGATCTGTGATAGGAAATGGTAAAAGAATAGTTAAGGACTAAACAGTATGTTATCAATTAGGACTAATGCCTCAGAGAAAAAATTTATCAAGGCAAGCTGAAATAGTTCTTGATAGGATAAAGCAATATACTAAAATATTTATGTTTTGATGGTCCCATTTATTTTCCAATTTGTTTTAGGATATATTTTAACACAAAGTCAATAAATTGTAGCAATATCAAAAAAGATTTTTCCCCATTTACTATGTTTTAGTGTTCTTAAAACTAGATATAACACATATGAGAATATCTTCCTTATATTTTTATGAAATTCTTCCTTTTCAGAATATCTTTCTGACCCTAGTAAAAGGAAGAATTTCTTAATATACAAACAGCATTATTCATACAGAAGGAGATAAATAGATTTGACTCCATTGAAGTTAAGAACTAGTCACCAAAAGACATCATTAAGAAAATAAAGACAAGTCAACTGGGAAAAGGCATTTGCAATCCATAAAAATTACAAATTATATTTATCCAGAGTATATAAAATAACTTCAACAAATCAATAAAAGAAAACAACTCAATAAAAAAAATGGGGAAAAGATATGAACTTGTGTTTGACAGAAGAGGAAGTGCAGAAGACCAAAGAATATCAGAAAATATGGTCAACCTTATTAGTAGTTAGACAAACATAAATTAAGACCACAATGTGACACCATTTACACTAACTAAATTTACAAAAATTAAAAAGTGTAGCAATGCCAAGTGCTGAAGAGGATGTGGGTGTAAAATGGTATAACCACTTTGGAAACAATTTGACATTTTCTTATGAAGTCTCTATGACCCAGCAATTTTACTCCTCCGTATACGTCTTTGAAAAACTGGCATATAACAGAAGACTGGAAATGACCTAAATGTCCATCGACAGAAGAATAAATGCATGAATTGTATCATATATTCACAAACAGTACTTTACAGCGGTGAAAAACAAATACACTATAGCTAAATGCAACAATATGGATGAATCTTAGAAAAACACTGCTGAGTAAGTCCTCATAATCTGTTTTGTTTGATATTTGTTTTGTTTTCCAATAAATTTTCTTCTGGAATCTAAAGAAATACTTTTACCAAATATAAGTTTTTATCTGTCAAAAAGTACAGAGAGAGTCTTGGCAATTAGTAACAGTGATGCAGGTGGCAGTTAAAGCAACCGTGCCCTCATGTCTCCATCCTCCCGCACCCCTGCCTCCGCACCCCCTACCATAGCCCCTGTGCTCCTGTTAGGAAGAATCTGATTATTTGAGAGAGATTATGGTCAAGAGCAAAAAAATCTAGGGAGAAAAAGGATAATAATGAAAAAGAAAAAGGAGTAATGCTTTGTACTGGGATTTGAGGGGGCTAAATGTGGAAGAGGATTATTCTCTCTGCGCTAACATCATACATTTTGTGTTTCAATTGCAATGGTTCTATAACATAGGCTACTTCTTTCCACACTTCTTTGTTAAAGCTGCACTTTTTTGATTATAATGGATATTACCTAAGTAGATATCTAAAATATATTAATACATCAGATACAATCTTTTCCAAAACTTAAATTGTATCTATAGTACAACTTAATGCATGAAATAATGTACACCTTTATAACTAATCTAAAAAAGATAATTTTCTAGTAATACTGTTAACTTTATGCAAGTATGTAAATTCAATAAATGGAGAATCTTAAAATACTTCTACCAAACCTTTAAATATGCAGTAGTTACAGCCTATCCTCTGCTCTCCTAATTACCTCCCATAGTCTCAAGCTGACTCACAAGTGTCTAGAAATAAATAAAACCCATTACCATAAAATAAATTTCTAACAAAAAGGAATAAAAGAGAAAGAGTTTATGCTTGAAGCAGTGATGGAACAAGATTAATTCTCCCTTGACTTTAGTAAAATATTCCCACAGCAATTAGAAGACCAATACACATTTTATAAATGAAATAAAATGACCACGTAATAAAAATGCTGTCTTCCCTTTTGAAAACATAAAAATTGTCAATAAAGCCCATTCACTTGGCTGAGGAAACTCAGAAAATGAAAGTATTTTTGTTTTTGCGTAGAGGTCAGTGTGTGAAAAAGTGAGTAGAAGCAGTGTCTAAGAGTAAGCTCATCGTGATTGATCTTAGTGAACCTCACATCTTCTAACTAGGCAAGTATCATTTTGAGTCACAGTAAAATTGGTTGTGTCTGGTGACTCTCATGTCCTGTCTATATGGTGGGATCCAGAAATAGGGTACTTTAATTGCCAGAACTTAGCTAGCCTCTATCAACATAGTCAGCATTACTTATGGATGCATTTTCACATGCTCCTAGGAAGTGGGCACCTCGCAGATGGGGAGTCACAGCACGGCATAGCTGGCAGGATCAAGAGCTCACCACTTTACTGTGGAGGCACAACAGAAATACCAGCCTAGGCTTCTGGGAAAACTGGTCACTTGTTTGACATCAATGGACTACCTATTTCAATAAAACTATTTCAGCTGTTCCCATAACCACCTTTTACTAAACTGCATATTAATATTTGCCCAAAAGGTTTATAACCAGATAAAAATTATTACTTCATCTGCTATAGGTGTTGATGCTCTAGAAATACACTCACTGAACCTAATATAAAGCCCCATACTATAGGAGAGAGCTCTTCGGAAATTAAATCTCAGAAGAAACTTTGCTTTCCCTAAATAATATGCTCTTAAAATAGCTACAATGAAAATTATTTTGTGCTCTGTTTTATATTATTTTTTATTTCCAGGAAGCTCAGATTCAATTTTGATGTTTGACTACTGTCATTTTCTTTATCTGACTTTAATACTAGGGTACTTCTATTTGTATTTTTCCTGGCATTGATTCTTTATTCATATAATTATTTTTGTACTTATGGACCTGTTACTAGCTGACTCAAATACTTTATGGAACAAAGCATGGAATAAATGATTAATACAGCATTACATTTAACTATCCCAGGACTATGAACAGAATGATTAATATAATTTTAGAAGAGATTCAAGAAAAAGAGGTGATAAACAAAATGTGTAGAAAATAACCCCTTATTTTTCTTAACCCATAGTTATAGAAAATAAACAAACGTCAAAACAATATATATTAAGAATTTAAGCAAAAACACACTCACATGTGAAAACCAACCAACAAACCAATAGATTCCAAACTGTGACCTGAACTTGTACAGCTGATTACTTCATAAGAACTCTCAAGAAAAAGACATAAGAAAAATGATCTCCTAAAAGATGTGTGTTCAACGATTAAAGATGATAAGCCACAAGAAAAGTATAACTAACACTGTACAGTCTGACTATATGAAGCAATTCTGGAAGTGGGGAGAAAAATGATTCTTTAAAAAGAAAGAGATATTAGTCCATTCATAATATATGAATTCAAAAATAATTTTCAAATAAAAATTTCATGTCCAAAAATAAATGTAACATATGACAATATTTAATTAGTAAAATAAAAAGTGGCTAATTCTGTTCATTTGCATGAAACCCTTCACCAAATAAACAATACCCATATTTTAAAATATATATACACTCTTATTTATCTCAAGACTAATTTTTTGCAAGCTCTTAAAAGTCTTTTATAAGAGAGAGGTTACTAAATAGTATTTTGAAAGAAAAGGTACCTTTTCTTAAACAAGGATATCGGAATAATTTTACAATTCCATAGTCATCAGCTGTAACTAAAACTTGGCCAATATAGTTTCCATCTACTGAATTTATATCATTGATATCTGAATACTTGGGCCAAATTCCATTTACTTCAAGGCCTGAAACACATGTCCATGAAGCCCAGTGAACACCTTTTATTTCTTCTTTATTTGTCACTTCTTTTCCTCCTAAAAATAAACCAGAGTCTTAATTTAAGAATTTACTTCATTTGATTTTTATTCAAGCATAAATTGTATTGGTGACATGGTCAACTCCAAAATTTAAATAGCTTCCCACTCCATTTAAAGTAGATACATGAATAGGTAGGTAAATATGGTAAGGAGAGAAGAAAATTAAATGCAGGGAGTTATAAAAAAAAAAGCCACTACTAAAATTATACTGATTCAGACACAAACACAGATTACACAGATTTGATTATGATTTAGCTTAGCAGGTACACCCATGTGGAGAATAAAACACTATTAAAATCATGCTACAGATTATTCACAACACGGTAAGTCAGAAGAAAAAGTAAAACTATAAGAAAGTGGCAAATTGAGTATTAAAAAAGAAACCTCAGAAGATACATGGTTGAGAAAAAGAGAGAACTGAAAAAGACTGAGAAGGAAAAACAAGTGGGGAGTAATACATTTACATTAGGTAACAGGACTTTAGGATTCAGTTGATCTTCATTACATATTGTTAATAAAAATCTTTGGGGAGGTGTATTAATTTAATTATGTATTTAGTCTTATCAAACAAATTACTGGAAAATGACTAACTCCCTAAGCATAATTCTAAAGTACCGAGAGAGAACATTTTGATAATTGTTTTTATTCTTTTCTTTTAAAATCTTTGATGGAAGCTTTTTCAAATTTAGTTTGTTGGCTATATTATTATTTGCAAAGTTTATTTGAGGTAACCACAAAAACCCAAATAATTTATGATCAAACATTTGTAGCAATTATATTTCATTAGTTTCACCCATAAAAATGGATTTTGACTTTCTAACATACACAAGGACTTTACCATACTCATATACTACTCACATGGCATGGAATTCAACACAAAGGAAATCTTAGATCCTCCAGACAAAGGAATTTTAATTAACAAGAGGATTTCAATATAATAGGGCAGCCTTATAGAAAAGATCACAATGACCAAAACATTAGCTCAGATCTTCACTGATTTCTTATAATCAAATGTAACTTACACTCTGTTTCTAATGAAATTCTAAAATATGTTATAGGCACTAAAAATCTACAAATTATATATAATTTACTAGAAATTTTTACCTGGCATCCTATAAAAAAGTCTTTTACCATTTCCATCATTTGTCTGTAAATATCTACTGTCTGATGACCAGTCCATATGAGTGATGAAACTAAGTGATCCCACACATTCCCCAAATTTTTTATAACGCTGAGCAACTCCATAAATATCAACTGAGCTGTCATTGCATCCAACAGCAAGGTAAGTTCCATCTGGTGAATATTTTAACTCATGAATTGCCTCCTTCCTATCTTTAATATGTACAACTTCTGTCATATCTCTGTAAAGAAAAAAGAATTAGACCATATGAAAAAAGTCACTACGAATTAGTTCAGTTCTCAAATGTGTCTAAAATGACTGTGAGGCTATATCAAGTATTTACAAACCATAAAACAAATGTAAATGAGACTAGTATTAATTCATGAATAATATTGTGCTGAACAAAAATATATGACTACAATATACGCTGGAAGTAAAGATAAATGCTGAATTTTAGTTCCTAACTTACTTTATTTTTAAGTAGTTTAGAGATTCATAATAAATTTCTGGAGCCACACAATAAAGGAAATAAAGTCACAAATTTCTATGCTTAAGCTCCTTGTAAATACTGAGTTTATGAAAAATGCTTCATTATGAACACCATCATTTTCAAATAAATTTTTATAATGAGCCAAATATACAAAATTACATTTAGGAAATAAAAAAGGAATTTATTTGTATTATTTCAGTAACACACCACTAGTTATTTTTATTTCAACCTTTGATCTTTTTTAAAAGAAGGTCAAAGAATATATATAAACTCTTCCCAACCCTAACCATGTCGATCAGTAAAGTTAAATTTTTTTCAATGATGCCTTATAATTGAGTTTCCAAAATAATGCAGGTATTGGTAACAGCTATAAAAATGTATAAACACTTAGTTTAACACCACTTCCAAAGTTTCCAAAGTTGTTGAGCTGGTGGAGAGAAGGGGAAAAGGGAAGTAGCGAGGGAGAACGGGCAAGAGGAAGCGAGAATTACTATTTCCAGTTAAGGCCAGGGCCTTTTTTTCCATATAAATTCTGCATTACCAATCTGAAATGCTCCAAGTAGATAATTTCAAAAACAGAAGTTTGAATGGGTATTTCCCCATTTTTTAAGTTCCTAAATGGACAATTTAAAGCAATCAAACTCAAATTTCTTCCAGTAACATGAAGTACTTTGTTTTACACACAGGGGATATAAAGATTAACTCATCTTCTGTGAGAGATGAATATAAAATTATACTTTATAACTGATAAAATGTGGTAAGTGCTCAAAATGTAAGAAGTTCTACAAGAAATACTGAAAAAGGATTAAAGGCCAAAGGCAGGAAGGGACAACCGTGACATCTATTTTACGCATAAAACCTGAGGGGTTAGCTAAGTATTAAGAGAGGAGGGAAGGTTTTCCAGAAAGAAGACACAGCCTGAGCAAAGGCATGGAAGTATGCAAATATATGACACATAGTAGATAATACAATGTGAATACAAGAAAGGTAGTGATTGTTGGGGTTAAAAAGAGAAATTGAGGACAATGTGTGGCAGATCTGATATACTGCCAAGGAGTTTGGGCTTTACCCTGGTGTTAATCAAATAAAGAAAGAGATGAGAATCAGCCCTTTAGATAGAGGAAGGATAAGATTAGCTAGAGACAAAATACAGAGTAACAAAAGCAGAAAGTTAGATCTGAGCTTTGGGGCACTCCAATATTTACTGCGAGGCAGAAGGTAATTAGCCTACAAAAAAAATGCAGCCAGAGAAGTAGGCTGAATAGAAAAATAGAATTCACACCCAAAGCCAGGGAAGAGAACATTTTGAGAAGGAGCAAATGAATAACGGGGTCAAATACTGCTTAGAATCAATTTAGATGAGAACTGGAAAATGTCTCCTGGCTTTAGTGAAAGGGTACCATTGGTGAGCGTTTTTCCTATGTAAAGATGAAGGCAAGCTATATTGGAATGGGGGTAGAAAGTTGATAAGTTAATTGGAAAGAAAGAGATACAGTAAATTAGGCAGTTTATTGAGGATTTCACTGTGAAAGAGAGGAGAGTATAAATGTGATATAACTAGAGAGGGACTTAAATTTTAGGTAGGAATTTTAAGATAGAACTTATTTGAGCATGTTTGGGGCAGGGGAAGAGGGACAAAAAAACTGATGTCAAAAAATAATGGACATATACAAAGAGTTACTTTTTAAAGCCAAGAAACAACTTTTGGAACTTATTATTCCCACAAAAATGGGGCAAAATACAAATAGGTTGAAAAATATTTTAAATGAATACGTGAGTAGTTATGGAAAACTATCCTAATCCTTTCAAAGTTGATAATAACATGGTAGTGACACTGTCAGAAAGAGACAATTGGCTAGCTATTGGTAAAATCTAAAATGACAATGTTAATGTTTTTACAACTAAAGTCTACCCCATACCCTGTAGAAAACCTTTTCCATCTTCAGAATAATTCTTATCATGCTCTTCCACTGAAGTCTCCCTACCTATTCATGAGAATGAATGAATTCATGAGAATGAATGAGTGCCTCTGAGGAGTCTGGTGCTGATAACACCATGCAGCTCACCATAAGTCAAAATTGTGTGTGTGTGTATTCTAATTTGAAAAATATTTGCAATTTTTCATTTGACTCCATATTAGTGTTTCTTTTAATATAAAATTGTTAACATTTTTTATCACAATGAAAAGAGATTTCTAGGAAGTTATGTGACTTTGCCCTGGCACATCACCTTGTACCCCAATTTAAGAATCAGCATTAGATTCTAATCTATGTGTATTCTATGTTCCTCCAAGTATAACATAACCACTCCTGTGAGGGTACTTTTAGTAACTGCTATACTTATACATCTTGCTTTATGATATGGAGGATGTACACAAACAAACCAAAAAGAAATAGTGACCAGGTAAATTTAGAAGGATTAAGAATATTTTGTGTGTTAGAATTTTATGGTTAAACTACAAAGGCATTTAACAGTCATAATATCTATTCCAATAATCCTGTCAGCAATGTTGGAGTCAGTGGCTAAATTACTGACTTTTTGAGATAAGAACTTATTCATCCAGTTTCTTGCATACAATAATTAAAAGGGCAAATCTTGAAAAAATAATGACTATTTTTAATGCATATCAGCTAAATAATAGTAACTCGACTGTTTTACATGCATATTAAATTCTTGGTTGCAAAACAACATAAATGTACTTAATGCCACTGAATTTTACACTTAAAAATGGTTAAAATGATAAATTTTATATTTTACAATAATAAAAATTATTAAGAGAAAAAAAATCTCAGCATACATCATTGTAAAAACCTGTCCCAGGAAGAGGAGTTACCATCTATAGAAGCTCAGAAGTACAAGAGAACATAACGTGTCTGAAAAAGTGAAAGATATTTTATATATGTTGAAAGAAAGGAACTGAGGTAGAAACAGGCTAGAGAGATGGACACTACAGGCTACGTTAATTAAGACTGTAGGGACTTCATCCTAAGGACAGTACAAAGCTTTTATCATACTTTAGAAAGAGGAGAGATGCAAACAGATGTGTTTCAAAAGATGACTATAACTGTGAAAAAGGGTTTCCAGGGAAGCAAAATAGGAAGGAGATCATCTGAGATGCTATTCCACCAATCCAGTCAGGAGATGACAGAAGCCTATATAAGAATACAATGGTGAGAATAGAAGGAAACAGATTAATTTGAGAGCAATTTAAATAGAATATTCTCCAGAACTCTGTAATTAACTAGACAAGGGAGGCAAAAGTAGAGAAATGAATTAATGGTTTATGAATTGGGCAACTGGGTGTAGGGTCCTATCATTCACTAAGCTAGAGAAGAAAGGTTTCACAAATATTTATCCTTGTGAACACTCGTGGATCTACAGCAAAATGTTTAATGGCTGTATGAAATGCAATTGAAAGCACCATACCTATAATTGAACACCAAATATTAACTGTTTGAATGAATTCTTTAAACTTTTCTAATTATCCAAAGGGAGAGATGTAGGCATTTTTTCAAAGCATAAAGCTACAAAAAATAACAAAACCATTCATCCATTTTTAAAGCCTCAACGTTCCCCTACACTTAATGGCAGAGGATTATTACTGAAAATCAATACTACCAAGGAATGGAAGTCAGGACCAAAATTTATAGCTCAAAATTTTTGCCATTAATCTACTAAGCATTCTTAACCCCCCAAACCAAGGTTTCTGAGATAACTTAATTTTCTGACAAAGCCATTTTTACAAATATATTTTTTATATTTAATGAAACTAATATCTGAAATACATACATATTCATAAAGAAGGAAATGGGTAAAAACAATGAGTATTATACATTCTATCTCACTTAGAAATTTACTGTTTCTATTTCTACCCTAATACCATACCTTACTCTAAGTACAGTGAAGGAGCCATCTTTCATTCCGAGGGCAAGATGGATTCCATCTACATTTACAGCTGCACAGCGAATTGGTTCTTCCATATTACACCTTGCTATTAGCGCATGATCTACTAAACTCCATATCCTGTAACATTTAATTACAATAAAAGAATAGTTAACTAGTGTGTGTGTTTAAAAATTACAGATTATGAAAAGATTTTGGTTAAAATAATAATCTCATTTTAAGAAAGACAAATCTAGATTTTTAACTATGGTTCGTGGCAAGGGATTCTTACCTACAAAAATAGGAATACTGTTTATGCTTAAAATGACAAGGGCTGATAGAATCTTTTATTTTTAAAACAATGTAATGACATTAATTTTTCTCAATTATTCATTTTAGGTAGATTGCTTCTTCCTTTCCAACCCAAATATCTATCTCTCTATATATACATGCATATATTTTATATTGTATGTAGGTATACATACATATTTGGCCTTACTGTGGTGACAAAGACTTCTAGTCTACAGCTGAGTAAAATGGTGAAAAACATAATGGGGCAAGTGGTTATCACTGCCTTCTTCCTGACTTTAGACAGGGAAACTTTCAATGTTTTAACATCATGATATTATAAAGATATATTTACTGAAGACTTTCTATGCTCTACCACAGGAGTCAGCAAACCACAGCCTATGGGACTACTGTCTGTTTTTGTACAATCTGAAAGCTAAGAATGGTTTTTACATTTTTTAAATGTTTGAAAACAATTAAAAGAATAACATTTTGAGGCATGAGAAAAGTACATGAAATTTAAATCAAATTCAAACCCATAAATCAAGTTTTATGGGAATACAGCCACATTTGTTTAATATTATCTATGACTGTTTCACACTATAGAGGCAGAGTTGAGCCACTGCAAAAGAAACAGTAGAGGGCCAGCTGAGTGGCGAGTTGGTTAAGAGCTGGCTTGGGAAGCCAGAGGGCTCCGGTTCGGATCCCACATATGAGGGCCAGTGACACTGCCCTCTACAGCTAAGATGCTGAACAACAGCTCAACCTGGAGCTGGGCTGCCATGAGTTGCCGGCGATGGCAAAGGCTGCAGCCCCTGCTGTAGTGGGTTGCCATGTACTGTGTGTAGCCAGCGGCCAGCGTGAGTGGTCAGCAGCCGCAGTGAGCGGCCGTCCAGAAGCCAGCGACTGATCTGCCTCGCCCGGGAAGAGCACAATGATGGTGCTAACTTGGGCCAGTGAAGTAACGTCCTCCACAACTAGACTGAAGAACAAAAAAAGTACAGCAACTTGTCTGTTCCCCTTCCCCCAATTCCCCAGCGCTGTTCCCATCCCCCAATTCCCCAATAAAAAAAAAATCTTAAAAAAAAAAAAGAAACAGTAGACAGTGTGTGACAGTCACATCAATTGTACTGCTCCTTCAGGACACTACAAATTGCAGTGACACAGTTACAACTTGACAGAATTTAGAGTGCTATCAGTGTTAGCATATAGTGACATTTTATTATTTTTAATTTCTAGTACATACTCATCATTGCAAAACACGGAAAAAATAAGACAAAAGTGAACTTTGTTGCATTTTTAAGGCCCACTGGAGCATGGATTATACTGTTATTGAATTTGATAGTAAAGCATTGTGTTTATTATGCAATGATACTATGGTTGTCCTAAAAGAATGTAGATATTCATTATTACCAGACCAAGCACTCATCACAATATTTTCAACTCACAGGAAAGCAATAGTAACAAAAATTAGAAAATTTAAAATAAAATAGCTCATTGAAGCAGAATTTCTTTACAAATTTAAAAATTAAAATGAGGTTTCAACAAAACTAAGTTTCTGAGTGGCTCATTTATCAGCCAAGCAAGGAAAGCTATTTATTAGTAATGGGTTAACTAAATCATTTTGGATTTCAGCAGCTGAAGAAATGTGTCCAGAGAAAATAAATTTAAGACTACTAGCTTGTTGGTGAGAACAGTTGCTCAAAGAATTGAGAGTGTTGGGAACAACACCAACAGTTAATTAAAAAACAAAGGAAATAATTTTGAGTAGTTTTCCTTGACTCTTGATGACTCAACAGATGTTACAGATACTACTCAGTTGTTTATTTGAGGAGTCAATGCCAAGTTTGAAATGATGAACAATTAGATTCCATGAATAGTCTGTGTGGGACAACCACAGGCTAGAATATTTTCAAAGGCATTAGTGAGAAGGCGCTAATATAATACAACATAAAGTACAATCAAATGGTGGTAAATAATATGGGAAAAAATGGTTCGGACCATTTTTTGATAAACCCTGTAAAAATGTAAATGTTGACCTTAAAACAAACAACTAGATATTTCTCTAGCATACAGAGTTTATTTGGGAAGAAAGAATAATGGCAATTGAGGACATGCGGTCTAATGGCAAACCACAAAAAAAATCTCAAAAAATAAAGGAGAGAAGATCCTTATAGAGGAGAAGTTGGGAGAGCTACTGTACAGATCTCTTCCTGCTGGCCTCTGCGGCCACAGGGCGTGAGACCTCCCCCTTCTGGCTTCCTGACTGCATTTTAAATGAGGTTTCTGTTCATTAATTTTTACAAAGCCTATGATTTTTATTGTATTATTCTTCAGCAAGTATTTTGTGTTAACTGTGAACTTTAGTTGCTCTTGTGGATTTAACCATTGTCAGTTCTAAATTTTTGTCAGTAACAGAAGCTAAAAATCCTGACTTGCCCTACCAAATAGCAGTTTAACGGCTTAGCATTTGTAAAGTTATATCATGATATTTTAAGAGCCAAGAATGAAATTTCTCTGAACCAGAACTGCCCTCAACTACTCTAATTAAACACTGAATGGCTTTGGAAATTAGTTTTTGCTGCAGATTTGATACTGTTTTTTAATGAATTCAATGTAAAATTACAAGGCAAAAGCAGCATTTATATGTGCAACTTATACTGTGGTAAAGTTATCTGGAAAATAACTATTGCTGTTTGAATAACAACATCAAGTATTTTTTAAAACATTTTTCTTATGTTTAAGGACAAATTCCAGCCTACGCAATTATTTTATAATTTCTCACCTGACTGAACGATCATCACTTCCAGTCACGGCCAAAGGTTTTGTAGGATGGATGGCAAGTGCCCAAAGTTCACCTTCACAATGCCCTTGCATAATTAGGAAAGGTTTATTTCTTTCATGCACCACGATTTCAAAAATTTCACTGTCCTGTGTTCCAACTAGAATGTGGTCACCTCGCCAACAAACACTCCTCACAGACAAACCTAGTCAAAGTGAATTGTATTTAAGATCAATGCTGTAATAATAGGATGCTGATTGCCCAAATCGATAATAATTTTATAACTTTTTATACCTTATATGTAAGATAAAAAGAATCTACGAGTCTTTCATCCACACATTTTCTTCAATTATCTATATTGTTTTCTACATTGACTGATACTGCTCTCTTTTCATATAACTAATTTCTACCCATCCTTCAAGACATACACATTTCTTCCTTATTAGACAATTTCCGTCACAGTCAAATTATTTTCCTTTTAATAGTTTGCATCATCCAAAGAGTAAGTTATTCAGGAACTACCTTTATAAAACTTAATTATTTTTCTCTTATAGTAACCTGACTTTTCAAGTGTCTATATTTCATTTCTTCAATCTTCTCATAAAATCATTAAGAGAGACTTATACTTTTCCTGTATACTCTACAATCCCTTTTGGAACCTTGAGAAAGCTAGTGTTTCTCTAGGTTTTCTTACCTATATAATATTACCAACATAGAGGTGCTGTGTACAAAAGGTCCCCCAACCTTCAACACACTTTATTTTCAACAGCTTATTTGCTAAACAGTTACATTTAACATTCTAATAATAAAATATTTTCAAAATCCAAGATTACCAAAGTAAGTATCTATCACATCTCTCTGGAGGTCCTATTATAAGAGTCATTAGACCTATGAAAGAATCTTTCCCACAACAGTCAACTGAGACTGTCTAAAGACATTTCTCCTCCTCAATAGAAAAATTTCAATTAAATGTATACAGTATGAAGGGGCAAATGTAAATCTCATTTATATTTACAAAACATATTTATGTTTATCGAAAGAAACAGACAATCCTTGGTATATTCAGAATTTGTCTGGTAATGAGATATTTGTTTTGTTATTACCTTTGTATCCCTGCTCTGTTTCCCTGAGATCAATCACAGTAATTGGTTTAAAAGTTAAATCCCAAAGACGAATACAGCCATCTCTGCCGCCAGTAGCAAAGCCTTCTTCACAAGCATTCATGCTAAAAATTCCTGCCTAGAAAAGGAAATAATTTAACAATACACACTTTTTAAGAAACCCACTGTAAAAGATTTTGATGTGATACAAGAATAAATACCAGGGATGCCAAAAAAATGTATCTAAGGGGACATTTTGGTCAAGGTTGCTCAAGCAGTAGTTCGCTGTAATCAGAAGTGGCTGGACACTGATGGTAACCACTTTGAGTACCTCTTGTAATTGCAGAAGTCAAACGTAACCTGTATTCATCTTTTGTTACTGGTATATATTGAGTATTACAATTTTAATAGTTTTTTCCTTTCTTAAAATGTGTATACATTTTTTTTTGGCACCCTCTGTATATCAGACAGCACAAATGAAAATCTAGAAATAAATCTACGTATATATAGGAACTCAACATATGACTGAGGTGGTATTTAATAATGTGGGCATAACATAAAAGAAAACACAGTTAATTTAAACCTTATAACATATATAAAAATGAATTATAGATATAAAATTCTAAATGTAAAAAATAAAACAAATATGTTCTAAAAGAGAAAGAAGAACACTTATGTAACTTTGGGCTGTGAGAGGCCTTTTTATACATGGCAGATTACCCACAAGCCATAAAAGAAAATTTTAAAATATTAATATGAGAAAAGATACCATAAGCAAAGACAAACAGACTGGGGAAACATATGCAATGAGTATGACTGTCAAGAAGTTAATATCTCTAGTATACAAATAAATAAAGGAAAGGAAATTCAACAACAAAAAAGCAAAGGATATGAAAAGCCAATTAACAGAAAAGGAACTTCAAGTAGTGAATAAATATATGAAATTTCACAAATAGGAAACAAATTGAAACAAGTTACTACTTTTTACAGAGAAGACAAGCAAAATTTTACAATAGTGCTCACATCCTGTGCTGATAAATATGAGGAGAAACTGGTATTTTTGCATACTGATGGTAAAAACGTGAATTGCCACAACCCTTGTAGAAAAGAAACTGGTATTTCTGGTCTTAAGGCATTTTGCTTAAAGCAAGTCTTGTGTAAATGCTTCTTCAATATATTCAATATGTAATATATACTTAATAGTGGTTCACATTAATGTATTTAATAACTTTCCTACTTGAGATATTACTGCTAACAATGTAGTAGCTGGGTGCTCTCTAACTCTCTTCACTATGGGAAGGACCCAACTGCTAAAAAGCCCAAATCAAAAAACACTAAAAGGTTTTAACAACAGACTTTTTTTCCTGATTTGATAACTTATTTATATGAAAAGCTCATGAAGTACAAAAATTAAATTCTTTCCCACTCAATGAATTAATATTAAAATTAAAGTTATTTTTTTCTAGAAGCATCTCCAAATTTCCCACCGGCAAATGAACCACAATAGGACTAGCTATATTCTAATGTGGTTAATTGAGAATACTTTTAGGTTGAATTTAACAGGCTTTTTTCCAACAATGAGAGAGCAACCAAACTAAAAAAATGGTTTGAACAAGAAACTAATTATGCTAATTTAATAAACAACCCTTGCACAATGTTTCTTCCTTGAAACCTTGAAAACAAATAGACGAATTGTTATATTTTTCAAGTAACTAGTAAGTTTGCTATATTATGTAATCTTTTATTCTGAGACAAGAGAACAAGCAGTTAACATCTAAAAGTTTAATGTATTTAAATATACTTACAGTATGGGCTCCTTGTATTGTTCGTATAAGATTGATTCCTTTCCAAACATATATATCCCCATTGAGTGCACCAGAATATGTCACTTCATCTCTCGCACAGGCCAGGCACAATATTGTCTGAAGGTCACCAGTCTTACCAAAGACCCCTCGTTTTGGGGTCAGGGCATTTCCACATAAACTCCAGAACTAAAAGGTACATAGTATGATCAAATGACCAAAGAATGCTTATAAAATAAAGTAAAACATTCCCAATACTTCAATGCTACATTAGAGCAGCAGACTAGAAATTACCTAAGAAATTCCCTTATGCTACAATAGCATTCAATGTTCACATCCTCATCCTGTGTTGTCAATAACTATGTTACAGCAGATAAGTCACTGGTTTGAAACCTTATCTGTAAGAATAAGGAGGGATGAACTACATTACTTTTAAAGTATGCTATGCTTCCCTTAGGTTTCTGAAAAAAATCTACATGGAACTTAGGTAAAAAAGTTGGGATGAATCAGCAATGAAAATAAAGATAAAGATCCCATCACCAACACGTAAAAGGACCAAACCTAATGTTCAATCTCTGATGAAGACAGTAAGAACCGAGAAGAATAAAAGGATTAGTATGTTGCACTCATTGATATTTTCAAAGCTGAGCAATTCCTTTACATATAAAGTTTAAAAATAAGAGAGCTACACATTTGGAATGATTGGTTCATTCGTGGGAGAACATAGGGATGTCAAACATAAAACTTCATAACCAGGGTGTTTGTTATATTATGAGTACTCAGGTAAATTTTAAGAGTTTGCAGAGAGAAAGAAACAAAAGTAGGGCAGTGCAAGAATACATACATTAATTAGTTCTGCATAAAGAAATTAGGCCCAGAGAATAAATTCAACTTTATAATAAGTAAATTACCTTTTAAAATAATATAATTTGTTAGTATTATATACTTAAAGATGTTACCTGATCTGTAAGATCTTATTTTAAGACCTGAAGATCTTAGTTTAAAACCTGAAGCCTCAAAGACCTAAAAATTATCATGCTCACTCCACTCAAATAACTAATGAATGTTTTAATCAATGAAATTTTATGATTTTTAATTTTAAAAGCTGCATAAGGACAGCTGGTTCTCTTCCTTTCAGCAAATCCTAATTTCAACCCATTATTTCTTCTAGATCAGTGATTCTCAATTTTGGCTACACATTAGAATCATGAAATTATGAAGCATAGTACGCATGGGCCCCCACTGAGATAAACTGAGACAGTGAAACCCAGGTATCCAAATGACTGTGATGCCCAGTGAGAGTTAAGAATGACTGTTCTAGAATCCAGATCATTGCTATCCAATACAACTTTCTATGATGATGAAAATGTCTCATATATATTATACACAGTAATACCTTGGTTTGAGAGCATAATTCGTTCCGGAAACAAACTACTCGTATTGCAAGACATCGCTCATTTACCTAGTTAAAATGTATTAGAAATGATTGCTCGTCTTTCGGAACTCTTGCAAACCAAGTTCCCTGCAATCCAAGGTTTTTCTGTGTGTGTGTGTATATATACATATACATATACATACATACATACATACATATAAATAACATATATAAATATATATATATAACATATATAAAATATATAGTTATACACATACATGCTATCATATAGACTAACCACTAGATACATGTTACTCTTGCGCATACTGACAGTGTGACTAAAGAAATGAATATTACATTTTATTTACTTTTAATGAATTTAAGTAGCTACAGGTGGCTAGTTGCTACTATACTGGCCAGTACAGTTCTAGATCATCTCTGGGACTCAGTTTCCTCACATAAATTGCTTGCAAAGAAAGCTACCATGCTATTTACTGCCTCTACCAAATGAAAAGAAATGTAATTCATAGATTAGTTTAATTGAGAAGGTAGGTTTTTAAAAAAAAATTTTAGCTTTATTTACAATATAAAACAGCAGTAATGGCTCTTTATTAATTTGTGAATAACTTATTAAGAACTTAATATATACAAATACTGTGTCAAAGATGAACAAGACAGAAATTTCTACCTTCATAGTGCTTATACTACATAGCTTAAACCTAGTTTAGAGCCTTTTGCTACTAAACTATTTGTTGAAAAATTAACATTTTATGCTATTATCAAATCGGTACCAGAATATGGAGACTAGAATTGCAGCAGAAGCTAAAGGTGCTTTGGAGAAAACGAGGAAGGAAGTGAGAGTATCAAAAGAAAGAATGTGCACACAGAACCTTACTTAATAGAATTAACTGTTACAAGGAAATGCTATATCAGATAGTGGGAGAGAAACAAGTATTTCCAATTTGCACCAGGGATTTAAAAGTAACTATAAACAAGAATGAATATCACCACTGACTATATGGGTCTCAAAACCTGAACTATAATTATAAAACAAAATTCAGAGCTTTCATAAGCAAAGTAAATTGGCCATCAAAGGCTGAGATCAAATCAAAGAGTAAATATAGAGACAGGAAAAGGTAACACTTTCAGAAAGCTGACCACGTGCAAGACACTCTGACAAGCACTTGAATATATACTGCCTTATTCAATCAACTCTATGAGGGTGGTAAAGAGCAGCCACAGTTTTAACATGTGAAAAAAAGCTCAAAGAGATTAAATGACTCATCCCAGGTCAAACAGCTAGTAGATGGCAAAGTCAGCTCTATCCATGTTGCTTCTACCACACCATTCCATCTTTGTGAATGAAAATGTTTAGTTTATTTGGTTTCTTATTCTCACATTCTACTTTCTAAGTGAAACATGAAGAAACAAGATGAACAGAGTAAAACCTACTTCATTAGGCTATAAGCTTCGTTAGGGAAAGTGTTTGATTAGTTCCCTATTCATACCTATGTCCCTTACATAGATGCCTCATATACACAGTAACTACACAATAAATATTTGTTAGATTGAACGTAAGAACATTAAAAATGTTGGCATTTTAAAAGTAAGTACTATCGAAATCCTAAAACTATCCTAAATTGTAAATAGTGTGATAACACACTTAGTGGCAAAGAGTAAGTAAACATGACTGTTATAAAACAAGACCCTTCTAGTACCTTGATGTGTTTTACACCACAGCTGACAAGTTTATTTGGCTGGTACAAATCCCAAGAAATATCAAATATCTGTAAATAAATCAGATTCATGGTTAAAATACTTATTTTCAGAATCATTTAAGAATCCCGTCCAAAAGACCAAACAGCTCCCAAACCCTACCTACCATAAAATAGTATCCCTCAATAAATAACCAGTATCCTATACTTTAAAATCTTATGAGACATAAACATGCAAATGATAAGAAACAAAAACTACTTCTTAGTTCCTATGAACTTATGAAGCAACTAATGGAGTAACAATTGACAACTATATTTGTAATTTAAAAAATTACATCCATAAATAACAAGAAAGGCTCAACAGACCAGGGCATGAGGCAGGTACCTGTATAATTTTTACAAAAGAGAGGTCTGAATGTAATATACACTTAACACATACAGCTAGAAATAGAGAACATTTTTATAGCTTTCTATCATATAGAACTACTTACATAAAGGATCCAAACATTTATTTCACAGTGCAAGTTCTGTTTTCATTTTTTGGCTTTCTTTATCATTTATGAGTCAAATAAAATTAACTTATACTTAAATTTTGGAGAGCTCCAGGATTCATTCTTTTCTATGATTCCACAAATTCTAAATACCAACCCTTTTCTTATAAAAGCAAACAAGAAAAAAACCCAGAAGAAATAAAAATGCATTACAAACATGTCGTTTAACAATAAATAAAAGACAGTTGGTTAAGAGCTCGCTCAAGAGTTTGAGCTCTGAGCAATAGCGGTTCGAGTCCAGCCCGAGCTGAGCAGCCGCTGAGCTGCCAACAGGTAGCAGGATGGCTCAGCTTAAAAACAAAACAAAACAATAAATAAATAAAAGAAAAACTAATATTTGAAAAATAATTTCATAGCAGAAAAGAACAATTCTGCTATTTGGTAGTTTTCACCATGTTTCTTTGACATTTGCCAGCATAATCATGTAAAATGCTTATTACCTCTAAAAATTTACGAACTGATTCTCTTCAGTGATAATGAAGAATACATCTTATAAATGAATGTTTAACAACTCACCATAATACAGATTATTCAAAAAACATATTGATGCAACTTTAAACCACAAAAATACTTTTAAAAATCCCGATAGTATCAGTTTTCATAATAACCAGTCTATTTACTAAACCAAAAGTAATATGTGTAATGCTTTGATCTAAGTAAGTCAGAATACATAAAGGTTAAAAATATATACCTAATACTTAATAATTAAATTGTGTTTGTGAGTGTGTAACAGGTCCCTTTGAGAATCTGCTGAAAACCAAGTTTATTTTCCAAAATGCAAATACACACAAATTTTTCTAAACATCTTTTACAGATTCATAGATTCACCCAAAATAGATTCAAGAACTATACCTTCTGTGCCAGTTCAGGTTAGACTTTTACTACACACCAAAAAATCAGGCATTTTTAAGTGTTTATGATAATGTTCTATGTATGTTGATGTATAACAGTATATATTTAACTGAAAAGCTGAAAATACAATTTATTCTTTGTATTAATTTTATACAATTTGGAATAAATATATTTTTAACAAGTTTCCAAAGTAAAAAATGTTCAGTCTCTAAAAAATTTAATACTAATACATAATTTTAAATTTACACACAAAACATTTTTCACCTTAATTATTACACATGTAACATTGGTGGTAAACCAAACTAAACAGACCCTAGGTATGAATCATTCAATTTTTGAATTGAGGTTTCAATAACGTAAAATTTATCATTTTTGCTGAAGCTAACATTGGGTTGAAAGTTTTGTGCTAACAGTACACATATTGAGTCTATAATACATATACATTCTAAAATATTATGGGTATTTACAACTGTACTTTAAAATTTAATTACGCATGAACTATCTGGCAATAACAAAACACAGAAACATAAAATCCCCTGATTCTGGTCTTGTCCCATCCAGTACCCATTAGAAACCCCAAAGAGTATACTTACTCTATCTGTGTGACCAGGAGCCATAGATAACATTTTCCCCCTTTTCCAATCCCAAACACAAACTGCATTCTTTGAATCGAGTCCAACTGAAACCAAGCGCTGAATTATGTCCAAGAAGTCCAGAAGTGAATATAAAGGCAAACAAATAAAAAAGTAACCAAATTATAAATGGCAACCAAATTCTACTCATGGGGTATTGTAAACATTAAAACTTACACATTTATATTTTATAGACCTCATAGAGAAAGGCTGGATATATTTCATCTTGTTAATATTTGCACATATGTGTAGTTCTGCACATGTAAAAACAGAAGAATGACTTCCATTTTAACAGTAGGATTGACAAAATACCCTAAACATCTCGCCTGCCAAAAAATTTAAAATGCTAGATAAAATTTAAAAACATCTTTTTAAAGGCACTGCTGAGCTGTCAAAAATTAAGAAATCTGAGAATAAAAACAAAGTGGTTTCCTATGGGAATCTTGGACAGTAAGAGAGTTCCTATATACACTTTATTCTATAGGTATCAGCTAAATCCTGGCAAGCCTGTTTTTTGTTCTGTAGGCTGAACAGCAATAGAAATAACGTTTGGGACCTGCCCAGATAGAGATTTGAACTGCAGACCTCTAACTAAAGCAGTGAACTCCTCAGAGTAAGGGAAAATAGGAGACAATCCCTTTTAAAAGAAGGGGTGGCAATGCATTAAAGGGGAATAAAAACCATCCTGAAAATCTGTAGCCACCAGCAGCCTTCACATGGCTGTAATGCTTAAATCCACATTAATCTTGAATCCCTCAAGTGGAAATTTTCATTCAAAGTGGTCCAAAGGATCCCAGTTTTCAAGCATCTTCAACAATGTTGCACAGGCAAATATAAATCCTATGTGGATGAATAAAACTTTAATCTATCCCTCAAAGAATTCCTAAAGGTAGCAATAAATAAAAATAAACTTAAAATTAAAAATAAACTGTCTCCTCCCAACAGCCATAGTAAATAAGGGCTCTGAGTGAGAATCAGCAAGTCATGACAAACAGCAAAATCAGTCCTACAAAACATCAGACATTGTAAATATCAGATTATATAAAATAAGTTTAATGTGAGTAGAGAAATAAAATTAAGTCTTCAAAATATATTCATATGAGCAAAGAAGACACTAAAAGGTAACCGAGCAGATTTGAAGAAGCAAACAGAATTTTCAGACATGGTAAGTAAATGAAATTAAAAACTCAGTGGAAGAGTTAAAGAGGAGGTTAGAGGGAGATGAAGAGACAGAGTTGAAAGAAGGATACAGTGAGACAGAAAGTATTAGGTTAAGAAACATGAAAGATGGGCTTTTGGCCATGAATGAGTATGACCATCTGAAGTTACCTCCTGCCATAAACAATTAGAAAACTGTACAAAATATGTGAAACAAATGTTTTCAGACATTTAAAATAGGAAGTAAAACACTGAACCTTGAAAGAGGGGAAAACAAACAAGGTGAGTCCTGCAACTCCCCAGCCTTTATCAAGGAGACAATTTCCAGACTATAGCATGGAAAGGTGAACTGCAAAAAGAGCCCAGCAGACACGCTGATTTGAGAAAAGAGTCTGGAGTTCAAAGAGGCCAAGATGGCTAGAATTAGCAGAGAAAAAGCTCCGGAAAATCTGTTTATGGGTTCCCTTGAGAACACCAATCTTGACATGCACAAGGTGAAATCCTGAGGCTAAGCAAAGAACAAATTCTGGGAGAAAAACAATTCCTAAGAAGCTAAAGCCAAACAACTCCCAGAGATCACAAAGGGTCAGAATCACTCAATGCTTAATTTACACATATGAATGAAGAGCACCCAAATGGTAAATATGTAAGTAATATTTTTCTTGTTTATAATTTGATTTTAAAACTAACTGTTTTAGGAAAAAAATAAGTTATTACAGGGTTTATGAAATATGTAGAAATAAAATGAATGATGACAACAATACAATAAACAGAAGAGAAAGGAAACAGAATACACATATTTTTCCATATCCTTTCCAACAGTTCATGATGCTTCATTAAGAGCACAAAATTTTGAATCTCAAAATAAGCCTAGACAAATTTTTAAAAATGAAAATAAAATATGTTCTCTGACAAAAACAGAAATCAGGATAATAGAAAGTTATGCAGAAAATCCTCCAAATATTTGGAAATTGACAGTACACACACTTCTAAGAAACTGAAGGGTTAAAGAAGAAATCACAAGGACTAACCCACAACACGTTTTGAAAAGCACTGGTTTAGTTAGAAGCAGAGGTTGCAAACGACAGCTTCAGGCCAAATTCAGCCTGCACCCTGTTTTTATAAATAAAGTTTTACTGGCACACAGTCACACCCATTCTTTTACCAGCTGTCTATGACAGCTTTCACACTATAATGCAGAGCTGATAGTTGCCACTGAGACCACATGGCCCACAAAGCTTCAACTTATTTACTATCTGACTTGTTATGTTGGGTTGTCGGAAAAGTCATGACGTATTTTTTCTGTTTTTCGTTGCAAAAATGCGTCATGACTTTTCCGACAACCAAATAGAAAGTATATCAATCACTGGTTTAGAGCATACATTCTGGTACCTGACTGCCTAGATTTGAACACCAGCTCCATCATTCACTAAACTGGTTGACTTTGGCCAGTTATTTAGCCTCTCTGTACCTTAGTGTCTTCACCTATTTAGTGGGGATAATAAAAGTACCTCACAGGGTTAATATGAGAATGAACATACAAGGTGTGATCAAAAACTACAGTGAACGCTGCTGCCGAGTGCCATCCAAGGGAAAGGCAGGATCTTCAATACAGGAAGCGGTGCGTCGAACCTTAGTAACAGTGTGTGACAAGTTTCAACTTGTTCGGTGCAGTCAGTCGGGTGTGAGCTACGGTTGAGAGAAGGTGTGTTTTAAAATGTGCAGTAAATCATCCTCCATCATGACAATGCTCTGTGTCACACATCGCTTCTGGTACGGCAATTTCTGTCAAATAAAAACATTATGGTGTGTCCTCATCCACCTTAGTCACCAGATCTGGCACCGTGTGACTTCTCGCTCTTTCCCAAGGTCAGAATGATTCATGACATCAAGGCAGCCACAACAGCACAACTAAAGACATTCATGAAAGAAGACTTCCAGAACTGATCAGAAAGTGGCAGGAATGATGGGATAAACGTGTTCGAAGCAAGGGGGAGTATTTTGACGGGGATTAATAGCCATGTGTCTTTTACTGTAATGAATTTTTTAAATTTAAACATTCACATCTTTTGATCATACCTTGTATATAATATATAATGGAGTTAGAAGAGTGCCTGGCATATAGTTAATCTTATACAATAACACCGTATAATGCTTGGTATCATCAGTTTACCATAACCATAATTAGCTTTAAGAACCCAATGCCCTCTCCCTATTCGAATGAGAAATGTCATCCAGTACCCAGTTATAAACAGTTTTGGCAAGTAGAATTACTATTTAAACCCCAAATGGGTAGAGTGAATGGCTCACATAAAAAGATAGAGAATAGTGTTTCTTATGGCTCTACAGTAAATTACGCCAATAGAAAGCTCAAGTGAAGAGGAGATGATTTGCTCCTCATGAGAGTCTTTAATATTTGGGAACTAAGAGGGTATCAGCACATATATACCTAAAACAAAGGTATCTACTGCTTGCTACAGTAAATTGTAGAGATTTAAATTTCACAAGACAAGCATAAAGTGAGTAATAGTCAGAGGGCTCTGTTCTTTCTACCAATGCCTCGTCTCTGTGGTTGAGCTCATCATACACACACAGCAAACCATGACTGGCCAAAAGCTTTAAAATTCCATGTATCTCAATAGAGCGTCAAAGCATCTCAGCTCTGTACAGGCCCTCGCAAAACAGGGTGACTCAGGAGCACTTCCTCTGTAGCCCTGATAAACATATGGCCAAAATGAACCTCCCCAAGCACAGAGTAAGCAACAGCAGAGAGGAAAAGGTAGAAATAACCAAGTAAATACTACCTCCTCTCCTAGGCTTTTATCACTTTTTCTTCTTATTTGTTTTCACATTTAGCCCAGCCTACATAGGTGAGGAAGAGAATAAAGAAAGTTTTCCAGTAAAAGTAATGCTTGAACCATATCTTGGAAGACAGAGTTCAAGAGACAGTCAGGTAGAAAAGTAAGAGAAAGTGCATTTCAGCCCAAAGAACACCAGGACTGGACACATCATGGTGCTTTCAGGAAAGAGCCACTATTTCAGTGTAACCGAGGGGAGGAGAGCCAACCGGGAAGTGGCAGGAGACAAGGCTGGAGAGTAGGCCAGGGGCCAGGAGAAAGAGCTCTGTTTTGTTAACAGAGTTAGAATTAACCATGGAGTATATGGTGTATCTATATGACACTCAAGGAGGGTATTTGGAGCTAAGGAGAGAAGCCAGGGCCAACTGTTAATATGGGAGTTAAAATCATGGATCTAGATAATCACCTAGGGAAAATAAGTAAAGGGAAAAGAATAAAAGCTTACAGACTCCTAAAGAACACTGGCATTTAAGAAGCAGACAGAGGGAAAGGTTCCTTTAAAGGTAACTAAGAAGTACCAGTCAGAGAGGGAAAAAGAAAACCAGATAAAGAAGCCTCTATCCACCTTCCCAAATTCCTCCCTGATTTATTTCCAAACAAAATCTTGGTTGCATCTATTAATTGAATTGGAAGTATTTATTTAAAAGTTCTAAATATTCTAGTACACACTAAGCATTCAAAGAAGAAAAATATTCTAGTAGACATAACTAGGCTCATCCTATGAGTTCCTATAATTACAAAACATATTCAAATAATGGCCAATTAAACTTAAAAGGTTCCAGTACGAGGGTCCTTGTGATCTCAGTGTTCATTACATAATAATTGTTATGAAGTAAAAATCACAAATTTTGCAAAAGTTGTAGGACTTAATAGAGCAAATATTGGTCAAATCATACCAATATTTGAGTAAATATTGGTCAAATCAAGCCATTAGATGTTAGGATCTGGAAGAATAGAAGAAAATTAAAATATAATACAACAGGCACCTGAGATATGTCTAGATATCAAGAAATTGCTGAAAGACCCTTGAAAAAAATGAATGAACTCCTCTAGTATTTTTGTAAAAATGATCCTCTTCATAATCATGCGCCAAAAGTGAAATGTAAACTATTTTATTTTGAACCAGCATATAATTGACAAATTAGGTTAAAAATAGTAACACTTTATTCTTAGTTCGTTCTATAAACTAGCAGAGTTGTAACAATAACTTAAATTTGTTAAATATGAGAAATGTCCTTTTATAAATTATAGTTGTATTTTCAAGATAAAGTACCAAATTTCCCATCCTCCTACCCCTCCCCCATTTACTACGAAATTTTAGTCCCTGTTTGATGTGGATTTATGTAACTAGTCTTTTCAGGCCCTAATTTATTCTCAGTAAGGAAGGCCTCAAGTATTAGCATGGATAGTCAATCCATTTAGAAGAAACCCTCTGGGAAAAGAACATTCAGCATTACTACAAATGGGGAAACTCATTCATTGGATAAATCTTAATTGATCACTTATAGTTTCAATTCTAGTAGAAAATGCAAAAATTATACAGAATTTCCTAGTTGGTATTTCATAGTTTATAGATATTACTGGATAGATATGTTCTAGAATATATTTTTTAACTAAAGCATTCTCTCATTAAGATAATTTCAGAGATACTCTTCTTAACTTAATCTTCAATTGGTAACAGTTCCTTTCAAGCTTTAACTGTACTTAAGATGGATGACTTCCTTTTAAAATGTAAATAACTACCTCCTAAATTCCATGTTTGGGAGGCAGTAGAGCATTGCGGTTAAAAACATGAGCTTTGGAGTGTAACTGACCTGGGTTCCCGCTCTGGTTCCATTTACTAGCTGTGTAACCTGGGGCAAGTTATTTAACCTCTCTAAGTCTCAGTTTCTTTATCTGTAAAATAGAGATAATAATAGTATCTATTTCATAGGGTTGTGAGGATTAAATGAGATAATGTAGGCTTAGCACAATGCCTGACACTTAGTATGTGCTCAATAACTTTTAGCTATTATGTTTTTTAGAAGCTTAAATTTCTTAAGTAACATGTTCTCATTAAGATCTGTAATAAAATACATGTACCCAACATTTTCTTATAAATTGCTTAAAATAACTGAAATTAAAAGCTTTCAACTAAAAAAAAGCTATGGGTACATTTTTTCCCTGTATATATTAGAGAAATTCCTCAGCAATGCAATATATTACACTTACAAAAGGCAATTTTAAAATTAAGAAGTAAACATATTTATAGTATATAAACACTTATAGTTAAACATCTTGGATTTCATAACACCTTTAGTAAATGATTTTTGTAAACAACTTTGTAGGCTTGTTTCATAAAATATAATCTGTGAAGTAGGTAAAGAGTATTATTCTCTTCCTTTTAAAATAGAAAATAAAATTCTGATATGAGAACAATTAAGATACTTGAAAATATTGGGTCTTTGGAAAAGTCATGATGCATGTTTGAAATAGTTCATTTTTGGAGGTACTAGAGTCATTCGCATCTATGTTATTGCTATGTCATTTGACAACTGACAGCTCTAGCTTCATTCTAAAAAAAAATTGAGTGATTTGGCTGAGTTTGGGAGATTTTTACAACAAATTGAAGATGGAAGACCAAACTGTGCATTTTCGCCATATTTTACTGTTTTACTTCCATAAAGGGAAGAATGCACCTCAAGCTTGTGAAAAGTTGCATAAAGTTTACGGTGACAATGTTCTACAAGAACGTCAGTGCCAACGATAGTTCATTAAATTCTGTGGTGGTGATTTTGATCTCAATGATGCCCCTCGGTCAGGGAGGCCCACCGAGATTGATGACAAAATAAAGGCATTGATCGAGTCAAACCCATGTTACACGACATGATAGATTGCAGAAACACTGAACATCCATCATTCAAGCATTCACGACCAACTGAAGAAGTTGGGATATGTAAAAAAGCTCGATATTTGGGTTCTGTATGAACTCAAAGAAGTTCATTTGACGGCGCGTATAAACATCTACAATACGCTCATTAAAAGTGAGAAAAACGATCCTTTTTTGAAGCGACTGATAACTGGTGATGAGAAGTGGATTGTTTATAACAATGTGGTGCGCAAACGGTCTTGGTCCCGACATGATGATTCGCCTCAAACTACATCAAAAGCAGACATTCATCAGGGGAAGGTTATGCTCAGTGTGGTGGGATTTTAAAAGTGTCGTGTTTTTCGAGCTCCTACCAAGGAACCAAACAATCAATTTGAATGTGTACTGTTGGCAACTGGACAGTTTGAATGACTCCATCATCCAGAAACATCCAGAGCTTGTTAACTGTAAAGGAGTTGTGTTCCACCGCAACAACGCGAGAACACACACAACTTTGATTACCCGTCAAAAATTACTGGAGCTTGGATGGGATGTGTTGCCACACCCACCATACTCGCCTGACCTTTCGCCATCAAACTTCCACTTGTTTCGCTCTCTTCAAAACTCCTTGAGTGGTATAACGTTCAATTCACATAAGGCTGTAAATCGGCCCTTGTTCAGTTTTTCTTAAATAAAGACAGGTCCTTCTATGAACAAGGAATTATGAAGCTCACTGAAATATGGCAAAAGGTTATCTAACAAAACGGGCAATATATCATTGACTGATCTTTGTTCTTTCTATAAATAAATGACCTTTGAAAAACAGACAAAATACGTCATGACTTTTCTGAAGACCCAATAATAGCAAAAATGGGACACAAATTAAGGTTCTGTAATTGTCAATCACTGCTACACAGTGGTATTAAACCTAGAAGCACATTTTCCCCCAAATGAGAGGTTCCAGTTAATTTTTACAGATCTCTTACCAGACTCTTGTCAGAAAGTTATATGTATCTATGGTACTCAAAGAAGCTACTCCTCAGTTATAAATAAAACAACTATTGGCTATCACTTTCAAGAAAAAAAGAACACAATGTAATCTGTGCTTGTTAAATCTAGATCTTTGAAATTACTTTTAATGAATTGAAAAACAGATAACTGAAATTTTTTCTAAAAGTTAAAATGATTTTTTAAAGTCTAACTTTTTTAACATAAAACTTTTAAAGACTATAAATTAACCATAACTGCAAAATCCAACTTCTTACCACTTCTTAAATATTATTTAGGGATAATAAGTTCCATGAAAGCACCACAAAAAAGCTCTTCTCTTGTTATATATATATATATATATATATATATATATATATATATATATTATAAATCATTGACTAGAAGTAAATAATTCAGGAACTGATTAGTAAGTGGAATGACTATTATATCCTTTGTTTATAACTTTGATTTTTTGTATAAAAATATCTCATTATAGTAATTGCCTCATTATTTTCAATAAAAAATAAAATTTTAATAGAAAACGTTAAAATAACTAAAAATTAAATGTATACAGCTCTATTTATAAAGAAACTTAATTTTCCTAAGATATCTTCCATCTGTCCTATTAACATACGTGACTGGAAAAGAGTTATATGTAAAATTTTCTAAACAACCCGGTAATATTCCATTGAATCAGAATCTCTTTTGCTTTAATAATTCAACTGAAAAGTTCTTGATACAATAAAATAAAAACTCCTTATTGTTCTTATTTTCCTTGTATATATCAACTACCCACCCTACCTACCCACCTCCACCTTTGAATTTTTAATCAATTGCTTTCCAATTTAATATTCATAAATTTATAATTATTTCTTATAGTACATTTTAAAACATAATTTAGCAAAAAGAAAAAAATTATCACATACCTGTCCCTCTATGTCAAATGCTAAGCAAGCTATACCATGTGTATGAACATCCTTCAGAACTGATATGGTCTGCACAGTGTATGAATCCCAAACACAGATATAGGGCTCTTTCCCAACTTGTCCTGTTGCTACCAACACTCGTTCAGGATGCAAAGCAAGGCTGCAAAACAAACAAATAGACTTAAAATTGCTTACAGAGCTTTTTTAATGTTTGGTATATATATAACACTTATCTATACTAATATTAAAAATAGATTTTAATTACTTATCCATTTAAAATAATTTGGATTTAAAATAAAAGAGCTTCTATAAAAAGCCATGCTGAGTTGCTACCTCAATAGTATATGTGATAAATAGTTAATGAAGTCATCCTTGTAATATGATATAATGTGTGTAAATTTCTCAAAAAGAATTCTCAAGAGATCAATTGAACCACAGTAACAAATCAGTTGCAATCCTACCATATGCTATTTTCTCATTTGGTATTCTTCTGTTTTTAAGCCCTCTCTCCCATTTTACTTTTTTTATTGGACAAAGTTAGACCACATCTTAGTGTCCAAAAATAGCACTTTGTAGCACTATAACAGCATTAATATTCAATTACAAATCACATCTTAAAAACAGAAAAGTTACCCATAATTCACAGAAAGTAATCTATGAGTCTATAAAAATAAGACAAAGACCTAACAGTTAGTAATGGTTTATGTACATTAGCAGGAGGCAGGGAATGAATATGAATTTCTCCTTGATAAATTTTTCTACAAGTAGATTTAGATGATCAGATTCATGTTTGGGAGGAAAAAAAATCACTCCTGGCATCAGGAAGGAGGATGAACTACAACAGGGAAAAGTTAGAAGGGTATTAAAACAGAATCAACTGATCGGATATAGGAAGTAAGAGAAAGGAAGGGGCCTAAGATTACTCTTGGGTTTCTGGTTTGGACATCTGGGTGGCTTGGAGTGGTATTCATCAAGTCAGGGAATATTAAGCGAGTAACTGATAAGAGGGAAGCTAAGTGAGAATGAAAGGTTGTTTCAACATATTAAAATCAACCAGTGTAATATAATATATTAATAGAATAAAGGACAACAAAACCCCACACATGTTCATCTCAATATATACAGAAAAAACATTTGACAAAAACCCAACCCCTTTCATGATAATGTACAACAAATTAGGAATTGAAGAGAACTTTCTCAACCTGATAAAGGGTATCTATGAAAACCCATAGCTAACATCACATTTAATAGTGAAAGCCTGTAAGTTCTCCCTGTTAAGTACACAAAGAAGACAAGGATGTCAGCTCTTGCCATTTCCATTCAACATAATACTGGATATCCTAGCCAGGACATTTAGGGAAGACAAAGAAATAAAAGGGAGAATTAAAACCATCTCTATTTGCAGATGACATGATCTTGTGTACAGAAAATCCTAAGGAATCCACTAACAACAAAATAAAGCCCAAGTAGAGCTAACAAATGAGGTGATCAAAGTTGAAGGATATAAAATCAATATAAAATATCAACTGTATTTCTCCATACTAGCAACAAGCAACCTAAAAATTAAATCAAGAAAACAATTCCATTTATAATAGCATCAAAAAGAATAGAACATTTAGGAATAAATTTAACAAAAAAGTACAAGATTTGTATACTGAAAACTACAAAACACCATTAAAAACTTTTTTTTTAAAGAGCTACATAAATGAGAAGACATCTTGTGTTCTAGGCGTGCAATATGAAGATGGCATTGATCTACAGAGTCAACACAATTCCTGCCTAAACACTATATCTTCCTTCAAGAAACTGACAAGCTGATACTTGTCAGAACAGCCAAATTCAGAACAGCCAAAACAATATAGAAAAATAAACAAAATTGGAAGATTCACACTTTCCAATTTCAAACTTACTTACTACAAAACTACAGTAATCAAGTCAGTTTGATATTGGCATAAGGATAGACATGCAAATCAATGGAACAGAATTGAGAGTCCAGAAACAAACTGATACATTTATGGTTAATTGAAACTGTCAACAAGGGTGGTTCCAAAACAATTCAACGGGAGAATAACGATCTTTTCAACAGATAGTGCTGGGACTTCTTAACATCCACATGCAAAAGAAACTTTAGAATCAGTTTGCATATATAAAATATCCTGTGGGGACTGTAATTGGGATTGCATTAAGTCTATAGATCAACTTGAAGAGAATTGACATCTTAACAATATTGAGTCTTCTAATCCATGAAACATGATGTATCCTTCCATTTTTAGGCCTTTGCTTCCCCCCCCCCCCAGCTTCATTTTATAGTTTTTAGTATACAGGTCCTACACAGGTTTTGTTAAATTTATACTAAATTTTTCTGAATTCTTGTAAATGGTATTGTGTGAAATTTCAGTTTCCAGTTGTTTGTCGCTGGCATGCAGAGATCCAATAGAATTATGTATGTTAACCTTGCAGATGACATGTGACCTTGTTAAATTCACTTCATAGTTTTAGGAGATTGAGGGTTTTATCAATTATTTGGAATTTTATATGCAGGCAATCATATTATCTAGGAATAGAGACAATTTATTTCTTCCTTTTCTCTAAGCCTTTTATTTATATTTCTTGCCTAATTGCATTGGCCTAGAACTTTCAGTACAATGTTGAATTAGGAGTGGTAAGAGAGGACATCCTTGTCTTTTTCCCAGTCTTACAAGGAAAACATTGTCCCCCACCATTAAGCATGATGTTAGATGTTTTTATAGGTAAGAGTGTAGTCCTCTATTCTTAGTCTGTTAAACATTTTTAAAAACCTGAACAGATGTTGAATATTGCCAAATTCTTTTGCTGTATCTAGTGAGATGATCATGCATTTTCCTTCTTTAGTCTGTTAATATAGTGAATTACACTGATTTATTTTCTAATTTGAACTGGGCTTGTATTCCTGGAATAAACCCCACTTGGTCATGCTGTATTTTATTGATAGATTTTATCTGCTTATTAGTTTATTTTGTTGAGCACTTTTTAATCTATGTTAAGAGGGACAGTGGTCTGTAATTTCCTTTTCTCCTAATGTTTTTGTCTGGATTTTGCATTAGAGTAATCACAGCCTCATAAAATGAGTTGGGGGGCTGGCCGAATGACTCAGTTGATTAAGAGTTAGCTTAAGAGCACGAGCTCTGAGCAACAGGGCCGCCGGTTAGATTCCCACATGGGCCCGTGATAATGCGCCCAAGCTGAGTTGCCACTGAGCTGCCAACAGGTGGCAGGATGGCTCAGCTGGTGAGAGCATGTGCTCCTAACAACAAGACTGCCTGTTCGATGGTGGGCTATGCCCACCCACAACTAAGACTGAACTCAGCACCTTGAGCTGAGCTGCCACCCAGATGGCTCAGTGGATAGAGTGCGCACTCTTAACAACAAGGCTGCTGGATCGACTCCCGCATGGGATGGTGGCTACGCCCACCTGCAACTAAGATTATAACACAGCACCTTGACCTTAGAGGCCACAAGCTGCAAATGGGCAGCCAGATGGCGGCTGGCACCCTCCACAACTAAGACTGAAGAACAACAACTTGGCTGGGCCCCCTCCCCAATTCCCCAACACTGTTCCCCTCTCCCAATTTCCCAATTAAAAAAAAAATGAGTTGGGAAGTATTCCCTCCCCTCTGTTTTCTGTAAGAGATTCGTAGAATTGCTGTTATTTCTTCTTAAAATGTCTGTCAGGATTACCAGTGAAGCCATCTGAACCTGGAATTTTCTGTTTTGGAATGTTTTAAAACAATTACACAAATCTAATTACTTTAATAGATATATAGGGTTATTTGTGCTATTTGTTTCTTTTTTTTTATCTGTTTCTTTTTGTTGAGTTTTGATAGTTTGTATTTTTCAAGAGAATAGCCCATTTCATCTAAGTTGCCAAATACATGTGCATAGAGTTGCTCATAGTATTCCTTTATAATTCTTTTATTGTCTTTGGGTCTGCAGTGATAGGCTGACGAATATTTACAAGTTCTGTCTTCTTTTTGTTCTTGGTCAGTCTATCTAGAAATTTATCAGTTTAATCAACCTTTTCAAATATCTGGCTTTTAGCTTGATTTTTCCCTACTGCTTTGCTGTTTTCATTGATTTCTGCTTTTTATTTCCTTCTCTGTTTCCTTTTGGGGTTAGTTAGCTCTTTTTCTAGTTCTTAATGTGGAATCTTAGACTACTAACCTGAGATCTTTTTTCTTTTCAAATATATGCATTTATTTCTATAAATTTCCCTTGGAACAATGCTTTAGCTGAATCTCACAAATTTTGATATGTTGTATTTTCATTTTCTTCCACTTCAAAATATTTTCTGATTTCCCTTCATTTACTCTGAGTTCATGATTTTCATTTTGATTTCATTATGTGCAGAGAAAACATTTGTATGATTTCAATTCTTTTAAATTGTTGAGGTTTATCTGATAGGATATGACCTATATAGGTAAATGTCCCAATAGCACTTGAAAACAACGTATATTCTGTTACTGACTCATGTTGTTTGCTATGCCGTGAATAAAGTCCTTTATTTCTGACCCAAAAATTTCATGTCTTTGCCAACATCCAAGAAACAGTAAAATCTAACTGAGTTTGTAAAAAGGATAAAAATACATACCAGACTGGTTTAGTTTTCTATTCTGCTGTGACAAATTAACACAAATGTAGCATCTTAAAGCAACACAAATTTATTATCTCACAGTTCTGCAGGTCAGAAGTCTAGTTACACTGTGGCTTAGCTGGGTCTTCTGTCTCGTCTCACAGGCCCAAATCAAAGTGTTGACACAGATTCGTTCCTTTCTAGAGTTTCTGAGGATGAATCAGCTTCCAAGTTCATTCAGAATGTTAGTTGAATTCAGTTCCCTGTGGTATAAGGATTGTGGCAGTTGTTTTCCTGTCGACTGTCAGCTGGGAACATCTCACCTCCCTGAGGCCACCTGCAGTTTTTTTTTTCACATTGCCACCTCCATCTTCAAACCAGCAACAGCACATTAAATCCTCCTCAAGTTCTGACTTCAGCTGCATCTCTTCTGGCTCCAGCTGAAGAAAGTTCTCTGCTTTTAAGGATTTACCTGATTAGATTAGCCCCAACTGGGTAACCCAGGAAATTCTCCGAAGGTCCATATCTTAATTATATCTTCAAAGTTATTT